CTAGGCGAGGTGCCGTACAAAACGTCAGTTCTGCACGAGGGATGAACAGCGCCTGTCTGCAGGGGGAACGGGGCGTTACTGGACTCGAGGAGCTCAACCTGCCACGGCTGCAGGCTCGGAAAGCAGCGTCACCACAAAACCGGCCACCAGCACGCCGCTCCGAACTGTGAATTGCTAAACCCGGAGGGAAGCCGCCCCGCACACGGAACCGGCCGGCAGATCCCGGCACCCCGCGCTGCCCCACGGCCCGACCCGCGGCGGCTCCCCGCGGCTGCACGTACCGCTCCGCTGCTCCTCACACCGGGCGGCCGGGCCTCCAGCGCTCCGGGCCGTCGGGCAGCGCGGCCTCCCGCCCTGCGGCCATAGCGGCGGCCGTCCGCTCAGGCCGGAAGCGTACCGACACCTTCCGGAAACGGAACGGACGCACCGGGAGCGGCTCAAACGGGGCTGCGCCGCTCCGCTGCCCGGCTCGGCGCGGGGAGGGGCCTCGAGCCGCCGCTCCTCCCGCAGCACGGGAAGCATCGGCCGAACAGCTGCGAGGAGGATTTGCCCATAGGGCGCGGCTTCGGGGACTACGCAACAAGAAGGCGGCTGATTGGTTGGCGGCGCGCTGCGAGCGCTCTGATTGGCTGAGAGGCTTCGCGGAGTCGCTGTTGCGGCGTCCGGGTGGATCACGTGCGCGACTTGGCGCCGTGGCGGCCGGGTGCCGTTTGCTATGCAGAAAATAGCCGCCTGACCGCGTGCGGAGCCGCGCCGGTCGTCATGGCCTCGGGACCCGGAGCCGCCACTCTGAAGAAGTGCCTGGAGGTGCTGAGGGACGCCAGGAACGACAGCGAGCAGCTGGCAGCTCTGCTGCTGGTAAGGCTGCGTCACCGCCGGGCCCGGGCCTCTGCTCGTCGGTCCCGGGAGTGCATAAAGCCGTAGCGAGCCTCCTTGCTATTCGTTGTGAGACCGGGAGCCACGTTATTGAGAGCCACGAGGATGATGAGGGGGCTGGAGCACCTCCCATATGAGCACAGGCTGAGGGAGCTGGGCTTGTTCAGCCTGGAGAAAAGAAGGCTGCGGGGTGAATCATTGCAGCCTTCAATACCTAAAGGGAGCCTACAGACAGCAGGGGAGTCAACTCTTGGAAAGGGGAGATAACAGCAGGATGAGGGGAAATGGTTTGAATTTGAGGGGAGATTGAGGTTGGATGTCAGGGGGAAGTTGTTTGCTGTGAGAGTGGTGAGGTGCTGGAACAGCTGCCCAGAGGCTGTGGATGCCCCGTCCATCCCTGGAGGTGTTCAAGGCTGGGTTGGATGGGACCCTGGGCAGCCTGGTCTAGCATTAAATGTGGAGGTTGATTCCCTGCATGTGGCAGGGGGGTTGGAGATTCATCATCCTTGAGGTCCCTTCCAACCCAGGCCATCCTGTGATTGTCTTTGCCTTCCAGGTGACCAAAGCAGTCAGAGCTGGAGAGCTGGACTCAAAGACCCGGCGCCAGATCTTTGATGCGATCGGTTTCACGTTCCCCAACCGCCTGCTGAACTCCAGGCAGGCACCACCAGGCTGCCCCGAGGACACATTCAGGGCTCTGGGCCTCACCTTGCTGGCATGCTTCTGCACCGACCCGGAGCTGGCCGGCCACTCACAGATCCTGAACAAAATCCCAACCTTCAGTGACGTCCTGCTTTCCCCCTGTAATCCAGACAGCACGTCCATGGTGGATGATGCATACCAATGCCTGGCTGCTGTTCTGGCCACTCCCAGGGGGCCCAGAGAAATGGTGACCAAAGGAGCCGTCTCTGCTCTGTGCCAGGCTTACATGAATGGTGGTTATGGTTCTGAGCGTGCCCTGACTCTGCTCTTGGGGCTGTTGGCTGTAGCAGAGGTGAAGTGCTGGCAGAGAGATGCTCCACACCTGCTGGCTGTGCTGAGCAAGCTCTCCAAGGAGTTTGTCAAGGCTGAAGACGTGACCAAGTTTGAGCTGTGTGAGCTTTTGCCTCGCTTCATCCCTCTCTCACCACCACTTGCTGAACTCTCACAGGGCTCTGAGAGCATCTGTCAGCTTTACAAAGGGCTGGCCAGCATTCTGGGCAGTAAACTCAGCCAGTCACAGCGGGACCCTGCTCTGAAGCTTGCTGCCAGCCTCGTGCAGGCCTGTGGGTCAGAGTGGATCCCAGCAGGGAGAACTGGCAGCAAGTTCCTGGCCTTGCTGGTGAACTTGGCTTGTGTGGAGGTCCGCCTAACCCTAGAGGAGCCTGATCCCTTAGAGATGAAGGAGAAAAAAGAAGTGATAACAGCCTGCTACGTCCTTATTGAGATGGGGATCCAGGAGTGTCTGAAAGAAGAGGAATCACTGCTAGATGAAGCACAGAGAATGCAGCTCACGAGAATCATGGAGGAAGCATTTGGAGCTGTGGTATTTTACTTGAGACAGGTAAAGAACTTTCAAGCAAGGAACACATTTGATGTGATTTCTCTGGGAGGCTTTTAAACAGCTCCTACAGTGCTTAAATTGGGTCTTACTGGCCTCTTACCAACATGTGGATACAGTATGATGCATCCAAGCTGGCAGATCACAAGATAGCAAGTTAATAACTCAGTGATTACTGTGATTCTTGTTCTTATATTCCATCCTTTTTCTACCTCAAAATGAGAAAATCTGCATCTACTGTAGCCACAGAAGTCCAGACTTCTCTAGCAGCTCATGTTCATAAGCTGCACAGACCAAAATACGAATCCTGGTCCACTGTGTTTTTCATCCTTTTCTATCAGCTGCTTTCTTCTGTACCCAGGTTAAAGAGGAGGAGCTGCAGGATCCTTTTGTATTTGCTTCCGTTCGAATCCTTGGAGCTTGGATGGCAGAAGAGACATCCTCCCTCAAGCAGGAGATCTGTGAGCTCTTGCCTTTCCTTGTTCATTATGCCAAGAAGCTTTTCAAGGAGGGTGGTTCAGCAGAGACTCTTTCCCAGACAGCTGGGCTGGTCAGCAGTGACAACTCCATTTTAGCCCAGGATGCTCTGAGGTATGTATTTTAAGTACAGAGCTGATGCATTTCAACACAAAATAACTCTTTTTCTATGTCCAGAGAAATACATCCTGCATTTAGGTCAAGTTCTTGTTGATCCTTTGCTGTGAAAGAGGTGACTGGAAGTGCCACAGTGCAGTGCAGCTGTCCAAGCCCTCCATGTATGATTAATGTGAGATGGCAGCTGCTCGCAGAGACTGAGAGGCAGGGAAAAACTTCTGGAAGTTGTGTGTCTAGGCTTTAGCCATAGCAAGCAGGAAAAGAATAGGGTCTTTGTAGGAGCAGATCAGCCTACATGGTCTCTTCTGTAAGATTTCAGTACATTTCCCTCAGGCATAAGGAACTCACCACTGTGTTACTGCTTGAGCTGATTCTGAGAGTAATTTCTCCTTTCCTTTCTCTCTGCAGTATCAATTATATGGCTCTTTTTCCCCCTCAGTTTGATGTAAATCCAGGGCTTTGACCCCAGCTCTCTGTACTCCACCTTTTGTTTTCAATTTTTTTCCACCTTACAGACTTCTGCTACCTGGATTTTGCCATTTAACAGCAGAGGACAGACCCAGAGAGATCCTCATCTCAGAAGGGGCTCCAGCACTACTGTGTGACTACTTCCTGCATCAGTGGGAGGTGCTGAGCTCTCAGCCTGGGTCCCTGGCAAGCACTGAGATGAGTCTACAGACTTTATGTGGGATCTTCCTTAACCTGGTTGTGACTGCACCAGACCTCATCAGGTAACAGAGCCACAGAAGCTTGTTTTAAAACTATCAGTTGGAAGGAAGAGGATGCAATGAGGGATGAGCTTCCAGGATCCTTTAAGACATTTGTACTGAAAGTGATATCCCTTTTTCAGTGCCAATCTCATTGCTTTTTTTTAATGCTGCATTTATCAAATGTGTCTGGCTCTGCTCAGGAAGTTTCTCAGAGTTTCCTTTCTCTCCAGGCAGGAGAAAACCTTCTGTTCTTTGATGGACACATTGCTGAAGTCTCTTCCTTTCCTTCTACCTCAGAAGGATCACCTGGTTCTAGCAGCCAACATTGCCACTCTGGGCTTGATGATGGCAAGGATCCTTTCAAGTTCAGCAGGTAAGAAGCACTCCTAATGGCAAAGCTGCACATTGCTCTGCTCGGACTGAGGACCCCAGAATGGAAGAGGATCAGACCCAGTTTCACGTAGGGCTTTTGTCATTGGAAGTGTGACAAAACCAAAATCCCAGAGGAGAAAAGAGCATGCAGGCTGAATGGCTGGAAAGCAGCATGTAGCATAGTATTCTGCTCTCCCTGAAAGCCCTGCTGCAGGCCAGCCCACCAAAGGATCCCTCCTTTGCCCAAGTATTTTATCAACTCATTGGTGTCCTTTTTCTTTCAGTTCTTCAGAAGACTGGTTCTGCAAAGGAATTTTTCAAAGCCACCATTTGCTTCTTGTCTCAGGCTCACACAGCCCAAGCAGACCCTGGTAGCCATGGCTTGGCTCTGGCTGTTTCCCCTGCCTACGTGAGTGCCTGGGATGACATCCGTGAGCTCTGGTTCCTGGGGATGCAGGCCTTGGCCAGCTGTGTGCCTCTTTTCCCCTGGCTGCCACAAGCTGTGCTCCAGGCACAGTGGCTGGAAGAGCTCTCAGAATTACTGACACGTGTCACTGCAGCCTCAGTGGATTTTGAGCTCATTGCTGCTTTCCAGGGCGTGCTGGTTGAGCTGGCCAGAGCCAGCGAGCCGTGCAGGGAAGTGATCCTGTCACACCATGGGGAGGAGTGGGCCAACCTGTATGGGATGGCAGCTCTGGAACAGTGTCTATCCAAGCAATAAAGAGCCATTTTTCAGCAGCACCCTGATGTGGGACATGAAGCCAGACAACTGCAGCATTTCTCATGCAGCCTTTGGTGCCAGTGAGAACAAGAAACATTTAAGTGACCAACTTCATAAAGCCAACAATGCAGCAGAGCTCTACAGGATTTTCTCTGTCCAGAACCCAACACTCAGAACTATTGCTGCTTCAGGACATTTCAAGACATCCCTAATTTATCTTCTGTCAGCGTTTTGTTTTAAAAACAGATCATTTGACTATTAAAGAGGTTTTCAGTTCCTTTTCCAAACATGCAGCACTGGGATTTATTTCTGCCCGAGGCCCTGAGAGGTTTCCTCTTTCTTTCTTTAACGCACTTCCCAATTTTGTCACAGTAAGTAACCCCTTCAGGATGTCACCTTACTTTCAGGATGTCACTGAAGTAGTTTAGCACTACGAGTAGAAAGCTGCAAAAGGCAGCAGCAGGAAGAGCTTGAACTTTTAACAATAACAGCAAGGATAACTATAAAATTCAGCAGCAATCTGTCCCTTTCTAAATGCTTGGGGGATGCAGAAAGGCTCTTCTTCTTTTCACATCCACAGTAGTGCCGTCATCCCAAATCCACCCTGTAACACAGGCTCCAGAATTGACATTCAGGGCACTGAAAACTGGCGTTCAGGACACTGAAAATTGCAGAAGCACAGACATGAGGCTTTGTGGTGTTTGCTTACACTCCCTGTTGCTGCAGGGATGGGTGTGCAAGGCTGGTTTCCTGATCTTGCAGGGAAGAGGGGTCATTCAGCCTGCAAAGACCTTCCCTCTTTTTGGAGCTTTGCCTAAATACTATGAAAACAAAATTAAGTCAACTACACAGCATCTCCCTACAGATGGAGAATTACCATTTGATTTATGGCAGAAGGAATCCAGGTGTAAAAGCACACACCTGTATGGTGGAGGAATAAACCATCGGTACTGCTGGCTGTGCCAGGGTGCCCTGGAAGCAGAGGCAGCCAGCTGGCTGGGGCAGAGCAGGAGCTGGACGAGCCAAGGATGGCTTCACCCAGCCCGGAGCTCTTCGAGGGCATTTCGAGGCATTTCCACCAGGTGTCAGCATAGGAGCTCTCTGGGAGAGGCAGCCCGGGCTGGCAGCTGGACACAGCACTGATCTGCTGCCCTGCATGGGTGGGAGATGTGGCATGGGATGATGGAGAGAAAAACAGGCAGGGAGCTGCCCCGAAATGCGAGCTGACTACAGGGAGTCCAGCGTTATACATACATCCAGCTCAAATTCATAAACACCAGTGCCTTACATAAGGCAGAGAGGAGGCATCTGCTGTTGATCAGAAGTATCTTTCTGATCTCACCAGCCCTGAAACGTTAATACAAGTTGAAACAAAGGTAGGTGCTACCAGCAAGCAGAGCAAGCCAAGCAAGCAAATGAGAATGCTGGACTTGGAAAAGAGCATAGCTGGTGTGCGTGGGCTGGAGGCCTCCCATCCTGCCAGGAACAGCTCATCCTGCAACGCAGGGCAGCTTCACTGCAACAGTCAGGAACACATTTTAGAATTGTCAGGAATAAAATCATCATCATAATCCAACCCATCAGATCCTTTAACCTCAGCTCTTCTCAATCCCACACAACACTCTGCTTCCAGCCAAAGGGTGTGGGCTTGTTAATCAAAGGCTATCGTTAGCATTAATGAGAGATAGGTGGCTGTATTAGCAGGTGGGAGCTCCCCAGTGCCCCCAGCTCAGGGATGTTTGTGTGCTGGGCTGACAGCATGAACCCCACATTTACCTGGCCCCATCCAGGACCAGAGCAGTCCTACACCTGAGGTCCTTTCCCTGTTGCCTTCAGTGCCCAAGCAGACTGCTTGCTAACACCCAGCTGCACTCCCTGGCAGCAAACCCAGAGCCCCAGAAGTCCTCCAAGTGCTGGGCAATAGGTTTGAGCCACCAGCAGGTGCTCCCTGTGTTAGTCCCATATTCAGCACAGTGTTCCATGGTGTGAGGACCATCCGGAGCTGGACCCGCTCAGGGATGCTCAGGACACAATACATCATTTTCTGTGCCATGAAATGCCCTCCTGAAGGCCAGCAGAGGACAGGGTGAGGATGAGACAACCCTCTGAGCCCCCACCAGGCTGACCCCCTGCCCAAATTGACCCTCTATCCCCAGACCGACACCCCCAGGCTCTGGCAGAGCAGCACATCCCAGGAGCAGTGCATGGCCCCATGCTATGGGGCTCTGCCACCCAGGGCTGTGTCCACCTGCAGGTCCCGGTGTGCCAGCACTGCTTCTGGTGCAAAACATGGGGTGCAGCTGGGCTGGGGCTCTGAAGGTGATTCCTTGGCCACACTGAGCTCTGCCAGGTGCTGCTGCCAAGTGCTGCTGTGCCCCTCACAGAGCAGGACTGCAGGACCTGGGACAGGCAGCAAGCATTGCGTTGTCCCCAAGTGCATCTGCAACACTGGGGTGAGCTCTGCAGGAACCAACCCCTTCCCACAGCTTGGGCAACATGGAAAAGGCCCCAAAGGAGCAGAGGCACATCCCATTTTGCTGCTGCAGCTAAAATGTGACAATTCCATTGCAAGCCTGACCTCGGCATGTTTTACCTCACTGTGTCTTCATATCATCCCAAGAGCACTGGCAAACAAATGAGGACTTTCCTAAGGCTGCTCTTTGGCACTGCAGGAGCCTCGTGCTGCAGGAGGGGATGGGGGCAGTGGGGGTCTGCTCAGTTCTGTAGTTCCCATTTGAGGATGGAAGCACGACTTCCCCACTCGCCGCACTCACCGCATCCTGCAGGTTCACCTCTTCCAGATGAATAAAGAATGGGTGTTATTGAGGGACTCTAAGAATGAACTGGAACATCACTGCGAAATACAGCATGTCCAATCCGATTTTTCTCAGCAAATGAAACGGATCTGGTGGAAAATAAACACGGAACTTTCAGAGCAACGGCCTTGAAAAGCATCGGGGGGGGGAAGGAGAGATGTGAGCGGATCGGCCCTTTACCTCCTCACATCCCTCCTCCCTCTCCTAAATGCCATCTTTAACAGAAATAAATTAGAATAAATGATGAGCCTTTGCCTCCTAAAGACAGGTGGCGGGGTAATATTGAAAGAAATGAATAAAAATTCGTTTAATGAGCATTGTTAATTAAACCTGGAAATCAAAGAGGTCTGAGATGTGGGAATTCAGAGGAAAAATGAAAATGAAGGGAGCCGTAGCTCGGGGCAGGAAGAGTGGAATTAAATTAAATGTAATGTGGGATTGTGTTTGTTAACGTCTATCACACATCACAGTGTATTACAGTTTAGGGTAAAGTGTTTGTTCTCTGCTCGCACACAAATTACGTTGTGCCACGAATTGGAACTCCGGCGCGGCGATGGGCAGCGCGGTCCCGGCACGGTGAGGATGCGGGACCACGGAACCTGCATGCGGGCGTGTGGCTGCGTGTGCAGGCGTGCCAGGGCGAGCGTGCAAACGTGCCGATGTGGGTCGGTGTGCATCAGCGTCTGCATGCGTGTGCGCATCGGTGTGGGGCAGCGCGTTGCCGAGAGAACCTCCGGCACCTCAGAGCTGGAGCCCCGTGCCACGCGCAGGGACACGGCGCTGCCACGCTGCGACCCGAAGGGAGGGCGCAGAGAGGAGGAGGGAGGGATGGAGAGGAGGAGGGACGCATGGAGGACGGAGGGGAGGGCCGCTGGGCCGAGCAAGGAGCGCACGCCGCCGCCCGCTCTCTGCTTTCCCCTCGCTCTGTCGCTCCGCAGCGCCCTCCGTCCCTCCCGTCCCCTCGGGCGGCAGTTCGGTCCCGCAGCGCCGCACGTTCCTCTCTCTCTCGTTCTCTCTCCGGTGCCCGTCGGGCAGAAGTGGGGAGCGCCCCGGGGGGATCCCCGGGCTCTGTCCCTGCCCCGGGCACTGCTCCGGCCGCCGCCGTCGGGCAGAGGATTCCGGGTTGCCGCCGGAGGCTCCGACACTCCGCTCGGGTTAATAAAGCGAAACCGTCGGGCCCCGCCGCTCCCCGCACCCGCCTCCTCCCGGCCCTCGGGGTTCCCCCCTCGGGGCTCTCGGGGAACGTGACCCGGGGCGGTGGGTGCTGACGTCGGGGGGAGCCCCGGGGGGGTGACGCGGGAGCTGCGCGTGCCCGTGGGACAGCGGAGCCGCGCGGCCGTCCGACGGCGTCGGAGCAGTACCGGCTGCCCCTCTCCCCCTCCGCCCGTCGGGAGTCGTCGGGGCCCCGCGGGAGCGGGCGGCGCGTTCCCGGCCCCGCGCACTGACGCGCGCCCCCGACGCGGCGGGCGCGCCCCCGCCACTATAACTGGAGTGCATGGAGTCGGGGCCGGCGCAGAGGAGCGGGCGGGCGATGGGAGACGCCGCTCCGGCGGGATAGAGGGGCGGAGACGGGGGCACCCCCGGGGCCCGGCCCGCCCGGGGCTCGCCGTGGGCCCGCACAGATGCTGGTGCACAGCTACCCGGGCATGGTGAGTGCGCGCCGCGCCGGGCCGGGGGTCGGGCCGGGGTCGGGGCCGGGATGTGGGATCCGGGACCGGGGCTCCGCTCCCCCCTCACCGCCGCTGTCTCCGCCGCCGCAGGACCGCGCCGAGGGGCTGCCCGGGGCGTCGGCCGGGGCCCGCCTGCCGCAGCTGCCCGCTCTTAACCAGACGCCCTACGGCTCGGCTCCGCCGCTCTGCCACACGCCCGCCGCCGACTTCCAGCCGCCCTACTTCCCCCCGCCGTACCCGCAGCCGCCGCTGCCTTACCCGCAGGGCCAGGAGCCCGCTTACCCGCACCTGGCCGACCCGTACGCGGCGCTCAGCCCGCTGCACCAGCACCAGCAGCCCGCCTGGCCCCCGCAGCGCTCCCGGCAGGACGACGCGGGGCTGCTCTCGCAGACGCACCGAGCTCTGGGGCTCGACCCCCGCCGCGAGTACCCCGCCGTGCCTCGCCTGCTCCACGGGCTGCCCGACGGCGGGCACGGCCTCCCCGACGGCCCGCTGGGCCTGCACGGCCTCGGGCACCACGGCCTCGAGGAGATCCAGGTAGCGGGGGCTCGGGGGGAGGACGGGGGGTTGGCATGGGGGGACGCGGCCGGATCCGGCTCTGGTGCCGGGAGCGACCCCGCGGGCAGAGCGGGGCCCCGGGGCGCTCGGACCCCCGGGCGAGGAGCGTCCTGCCACGTTACCGGCAGGGAGCGCGCAGCGAGCGGCTACCGAGAAGCCGGGCCGACGCTCCGCTCCTTCCCCCGGGGCCGCCGCGCCGGGGCCCGGCCGTAGCCGAACGATTTCATCGCGCCGCGGCCTCGCGGTCGCCCCGCGCCCTGCAGCCGGGAGTCGCGTCGGGAGCCCCCGCTGACGGCTTTTGCTTTGGTGCTTCCAGGCGGCGGACGACGGCGGGATGAACCTGCTCGATCAGTCCGTCATCAAGAAAGGTAAGAACCCGCGGGACGCGGCGTCGGGCCCGGCTCCTGCCCTCGGGGCTCCCTTCCGTCGGGTCCCCCGCGACAGCCGGCACCGCGCGGCTCGGAGAGGAGGGGGATAATTGGGGCGAGGAACCGGCGCGGTGTTCCGGCTCCGGTGCTGCTCGGAGGTCGCTGCTACACCCGGCGGCGAAACGAACGCGGCGGATCCCGGCGGGCCGAGCGAACGCGGCTACCTGAGAGCCCCGACGGCCGCGGGCGGTTCGCGGTGGGAGCCCCGGTGGGACCGGAGCGGTGCAGGGGATGCAGCCGCGGCCCCACAGCTCTCCGGGAGCGGGGAGGACGCACTGAACGGAGCCGAGGTGGTTCCGAGTGGGGGCCCTGCACGGCCCCGGGGGTGAGCCGCCTCCTGCACGATTTTGCTACCGGTTTTTCCCGACCCTTTGCTTCCAAACACGGCAATAGTTCCACTCCGTAAAATAGTTTTTCTCATTAAAACATCATCGGGGCGCTATTGGGAGCGAGAGGAGCACGAGGGACCGCTGTGCCGCACGGGTTGAGAGCCGCACGGAACAGCCGGGCGCTGCTGTCGGCGTTTTTAACAACAACGGGTAGAGGGAAAGGATCACAGCGTGGGGGTGGCGGCCGGACAGCAAACGAAAGATGCGGGATCGACACCGCGCGGGGGCTGCGGGAACCGGAGGAGCGGTGAAGGCGGTGAGCCCCGGCCCTGCGCGGTGCGGCGCTCCCGGAGCTCTCCCTGCCCCGTTCCGTGTAAATGGGAGTTCTGCGAATTCGTGACACGCGGAGCACGAATGGACCGTCATTATTGGAGCTCTAATCGGAACACGCGAGAGGCGTTGCGTGAAGTGGTCGCGGTGTGCGCTCCGCTCCGCGCCTTCCCTTTTGTGTGTGCGGGCGGCATTGGGGCACTTCTCAAAGATGCTCTGAGGGACGGCGTTTGTGTGGAGTTCGGCTGAAACCACCGCTGGTTTTCATTGATTTTTGTATATATGCGTGGTTTGTTTTGTTACTTTTTTTTTTTTTTTTCCTCCCTTTTCCAAAACGAGCGCCTACCCCCAAATCTTCGTTTGCCGTCGGGAGGAATTATTGCTCGGTGCCACATTTGGACACGGAGATCCTTCGGTTGCTCCGTTCGGATATAAAAGATCTCACGGCGCGCTGCTCTGTGCCTGCGGCGGCCGCGTCTCTTCCCATCCGTTCTTTCTTTATTTTTCCGCCGTGTTGAGAAGATGCGAACTCTCTTTGTGGGTCGGTGGTTCCCCGGCAGCTCGAAGCGTTTGCGGGAGCAGCCGCGCAATGAACGCCCGCAGTGCCGCGGGGCGGCTCCGACCTCACTGACGGATCTCCGTTCGTGGTCTCATTTAATTGAATTTAATTTTATATTATTGTGATTTATTTTTCGGCTCTGCTGTGAGCCGCAGCCCGGACCCTCCGGAGCCCAGCACCGAATCCTTTTTTTTTTTTTTTTTCCATACGCCCTCGGAAAAATAAAAGCGGTGGCAGAGAATCCTCGGTGCGGGAGGCAGTGGGGCGGACGGGGTAGGAAATATCTCCGTGGGAAGCGGAAGAAATTCGGTCCTAAATCCCCAACACCGCACGGAGGTCATCAATGCCCCAATTCCTCCCGGTGCGGCCGTCGGACGGAACCCCGATGGAAACGCGTGCGGCTGTGAGCTCACATCTGCCCTTCGTGAGCCGCCGCCGTGCTGCGATCCCGGGTCAAGCAAACACCGATCGCTGCCCCCAGGCGACATCAGCTCCGCCGTGGGGGGCAGCGAACGCACAGCGGCTGCGGGGAGCGGTGCGGGATGGGGAGAAACGCGCCCCGATATTTGCGGCTCTGCGTTTCGTTCCCCCCCCCCGCTTAAATAAACGGGTTCGGCGGCTCTTAGTAGGGATTTTTTTTTACGGGGACTGCGACTGAACGCTGCGCTCGGGGCCGTTTTGCTGCAGGAAAGGGGACAGCGAGAGTGGGGTGGGGAGGGCTGGGGGGGGGCAGCGGGGATCCCCCACCCCCACACCGCACACAGGGGCTGCGTCGGTCCGGAGCAAAGCCCTGCGTGGGGCAGCACAGGTTTTCTGGCTGCCTGTTCTGGACCCGTTTATTTGTTCTCTCTCTTTTTTAAAAAGCAGTTCAGCAATGGTTTTTTGATTTTCCGTTGTTTTTTTTTTTTTAATTTTTTTTTTTTTTTAAGGGTGCTTTTGGGTCGATTTGGTTTTTGGTTTTTGCTTTTTTTCCTCCCCCCAAGCATTGCTGTAAGACTGGGAATATAATGGACGTAAAAACATTATTGTGAGCTCTGAAAAAGTTCCGTCCTCGGCTCCGTGTGCGTGCAGCAGTGTGGGATCTTCCAGCAATGAACCCCAGCATTCTGTCGTTGCATTTCTTAGCAAAAACAAAACAAAACAACCCAAAAACAAAAACCAAAACCACAAAAATACCCAACCCATCAGCTTGGTCGTAAAATAAGGAGGAGTTTTATGGCCTCACCGTTCTCTCGGGCTCAGCAAAAAGCTTTTGGTGGAGCTTTTTTATTCGGAAGGAGGATAATAAATCCCTTTCCCCAACACGGTGCTGTCTGTGGGGTTTGGGGTGGACCTGCGGGGGGGTCCCTATGAGCAGAGGGCTTTGGCTGCTTGGTTCTGCTTTGTGTTTGTGACCCGCAGAGATTTCCACATGAAGATTTTCAGCCGCCCCACAGCAGGAATGCGGAGCTGTTGGGCTGAGTGCAGGGCAGAGAGCTGTGCCAGGATGGAGCAGGGGCTGTCAGCGCTCAGGAACACAGAGGGGTGTGTGCACTTCTAGAGTGTGAGGCCTTTCCCCCCATTTGGTCTCGTGGGACAGAGCTGCTGCTCTCAGCTCCATCCGTGGCCGAGCACAGAGCCAGATGCGGCAGCAGAAAATCCCAAAAGCGCTCTGACACTGGCAGCAGATTAGATAAACATCATTTCCTGCGATGAGGAAGGCAATAAATGAGGTCACCCTATAAAACACCTGGGGCTGCGAGGACTTGTTGCTCTCTGTGCTGCTGGGCTGCAGCAGCTCCGGGTGGGACGCCGTGCTGTGCTGTGCTGTGAGGCTGCAGGGCCGGGCTGTGCGCTCAGCTCTGCTCCCACCTCCAGACGCAGCGCATGCAGGAACACCTCCTATCAAACAGCAAAAACTTGAAAGAAAGTTTTTCGCTCTGAACTGCGTCCAGATCGCCGTTCCTCCATTAAAATTATATTTTTAATGTCCTGTAATTGCGCCGGGATAAACCCAGGTGTGTGTTCATGTGAGATAACACGTTGAGGTGCTGGTGGAGGTGCTGGGCTTTGTCTCAGCCTTCCTGGTGCCTCCCAGGCATGTGTTATCTCCAAGTTTCATATACCTTGTCATGACTTACTGCTTAATTAGATGTTTCTAAATGAATATTTTGCTTTGTTCCAAGCAAAGAGCAGCTCTTACAGGGGAGGTTCGGTGAAGCCAGCTGGGGTTGCTTGTTGGCATGTGGCTGGTGAGTCAAACAGCAGGAGAGGGGCTCCGGGTGGGGTTTGTCCGTGGGATGGGGCCGGGGTGGCCCTGGAGATGCTCCTGCAGAGCAGTGCTTTGGCTTTGGCTGCTCCTGGGCCCGTGGGACCCAGCGGTGGGTGGTCAGCATGAGCTGCTTGTGGGGAGGGATGTGGGCAGCAGCAGCTGCTCTGCTGGGGAAAAGTCGGTGCCTCCGGGGAGGCCTCCCCTGTGGGCACTGGATTGCAACGGGACATTTCTTCTGCTCCTTGCTGAAGTTCCTGGGCCAAAACCGGGGTTCCCAAGCTCCATTTTGTGCCCAGCACTCCAAACCTTTGCAATGCACTTCTGTTCCATTCACCCGGCAGATCCTTCACTTCCTCCTGCTGTGCTGCTCGAGGTGTCCCCCCCATCCCCCCCCCTCTGGGCTCTCTAGGGCTGCTGGATGCAGCTCACAGTGCCCGTTCTCCAGCCATGGTGCAGACTGCCTGCTTGCAGTGTGCTCCCATGGGCGTGCAGGCAGCCGTGCCCAGGTGACACACAGCAGAGAGGTGGCCCTGAGGCTTTACTTTGCAGCAGTGCCGTGGTGGGGGGGCTCAGTGGGGCAGACCTGGGGGCTCTGTACCACCTCTGTGCAGCAGAGGCCAGCGTGGCCCATTCCTCCTTGTTCAGCAGTATTCTGAGATCTGTGATGCTGGAAAAAAATATACGTGCGCAATCCGTCTTAATTTCAGAGAGCCCAAACGTGGCTCTCTGAAGTTGTAGACTAGAGCCCTGACCATGGAACCCTTTCACCCTTTCCTGCGTGATCCTGGGGAATAATTCATTCTTGCTGTGCTTCCGTGTGTTTGTTTGTTTTAATTGCTAATGGAGGCACTAATTAGCAAGCGCGGAGGCAATGCGTGGAGCTGTTGCGTGCTCGGCTCTCATCTCAGTGTGCTGCAGCAGCTCTGCTCTGTTTGGGTATCAGAGAAAGGTGGGAGGAAGAGCAGGGAAGCGTGGATGAGCCCCAGCTGTGCAGTGCAGCCCAACATGGCTGAGGGGAGCAGAGCGTTCGCCCTGCTTGGGTCCTGCAGTGCGTGCTTGGGATTCCAGCAGGCTGAGACTCCCCACCCTCTATCTCCAGCATTTATCTGGCACCAGGCTGTGGGTGCGAGGCGCCCATCCCCAGACTGGTCCGACGGGTCGTGATGGCAGCATTGGGGCTCACAAAGCTGTGGCCAAAAGGACCCAGAGCTGCTCTGCGTGCGTGGTTCCAATCGGAGACCCGAGCTGCACTGCATCACGGTGGTCGTGTGAGGATCAGCACCGAGTGCTGTACAAAAAAGAACATTTTTCTGTGATTATTCACAACTAATCTTTGCTGAGGGTTTTTTTTTGCCCTTCAGTAATCAGAACGTGTTTTAACAAATTGATAGCAACGTTAGCACGGCTTACGTGGGATCCGCGCCGCGCGCAGGGGACACTGCAGCTTTGTTCTCCTCGTGCAGCTTAGGGAGATCCGAGCTGCCTCTCCTATAGGGAATGCGGGGAGAACCTCTCAAGCATGTTACTGCAAAATGGATTTTACAGTTTAAACACATAAAGATCCCCTATACCGGCTGCCAAAATGTAATGGGAGTTTGTGCTGCTAAATGAATAAACCTGTGATGCTGAGGGCTATGGGGCTGTGGGATGGCAGTGGGGTCCTCCCCTCATTGCGGGTTCACAGCTCCACTCGCTGACACCCCAAGGTTCCCTGTCTTCCTGGTTCCTCCCCTCTCCTCTCCTCTCCTCTCCTCTCCTCTCCTCTCCTCTCCTCTCCTCTCCTCTCCTCTCCTCTCCTCTCCTCTCCTTCCCACTGTGCCCAAGTATTTTGCATGCTGTGAATCTCAGTTTTGCTGTACAGAGGCAGAGCTGCTTCGATCCGGAGCAGTGAATCATAGAATCAAAAGTGGGATCTGAGTCCATTTCTGTTCGTTCCTGTGAGGCTTTGGGCGCGAGCTGGGAGGACGTTGCTCACATTGCTGCCTTCCAGTGGGGGCATTCCCAGTGCTCCCATCCACGAGCACAGCGCAGCCCCTACAACCATGCACAGCTCCCCCAAATTCACTACAGATTCAGAAGCAGCGTTTGAGGCTGAGTTACTGCAAAATGGCAAAGCAGGGAGATGCAGTAGCTGCAGTAATTGCAACAAGTGCAATAATTGCACATTGCTTGCTCACCACCTCCCCAGTCCCAGAGGAGCTCGCGGTGCTTTTGGAAAGGTCTGGGTGCGTTTTGTTGCTGTGTGTCCTTACAGCACATCACTGGGTGCACGGTGAGGCAGCGGGAAGAGGTGCAGGAAGGGAGATGGCCACGAATGTCACATGGCACCTTGTGATGGAGCTCGTCGCTTAATGTACTGATTTGCATTGGAGGCATAATGACACGCAGGGAGCTTTGCATGGGCCCAGCAGCTCTGCTGGGTGCTGTCCCGTGGGAACGCTGTGGGCCCTGCAGCTCCATCCCCTCCCGAGGGTCCCAGCTCTGCTCCATATCACAGTACAGCAATCTGGACAGTGCAGAGATAAAACCCGGATTCTTTCCGTCCGTCCATTTGAAGAGGCCTCCGAGCCGATTCCTAGAGAGGCTCTTTGACATGGAGACTCAATTCAGGTGGTGCATTCGAGATAAAGAAAATACCTGTATAACCCCTCTGGGAAGAAAGGATAATTACAGAGCGCGGTTTGAAATATGGCCGATGGCACTGACCTCCTTCCCGGCCCCTCCATAAATACCTCTGTGCTGAAGCATGAGGAAATGGCAGGAGCTGAACCGCGCACCTCCTCTGAAGCAGGCAGGAGCTGCTGCCTCTGGCTCACACCCACACGCAGACACTGCCTGATGTATGGATCTCGGGCTTATAATTTACATCAGAGGCATTCAAACAAAGGTCGGGTTGGTTCTGCTCTCCCTGGCAGACAGCCCCGCACGGCCCCCTTTGCTTCTCTGCAGCATTGCTCCTCCAGTGAGCAGCCAGTGCCACACAGCACTGCACGCAGAGGGCAGAGCAATGCAGGGAGCAGAGTGTGGGGCAGAGCTGCAGCAATGGGCAGAGCTGCAGGGAGCAGAGCCTGGGCTCAGTGCTCGGTGCCGTCGCCGTGCGTCAGCGCCTGCAGCTCGACCCAATGCACTGCCTCCTGCAGTGAGCACGGCAGCAGGACGCAGCGTGCAATGGGAGCAGCTGGAAGAGCTGCATATGGTGCTGGTGATGCAGAACAGAGGCCCCGCAGGGCTGAGCTGCTCCTTTGGGGGTGGAGATGGAGGCTGCCCCAGAGCAGGTGGGCTTGGGGGGGGGAATCAGCTGAGAGCGCGGTAGATGTGATCTGAGCTTCAGCACACTCCTGCTCTGAGAGAGATGTTGCAATGAAACTGCCAGCATCCAATGGTCCAACGCTGCCGAGGAGGAGGATGTGCCTGAAATGGATCTGAGTAGGAGGAAACCAAACCTGTCTGACAGGCAGCAATCCGCATCTTCCCTCTGGACTCGCTTTTCCCCTTGCAGCACCCCAAGCTTCAGCTGGCACTGGCACCAAGCAACTAATACCATAAGCAATTTGATTGCCAGGAGCCCCACATCTCCCTGCTTACAAATTATTTTGCAAGCCGGTAGCACAATTCAGCATTTCATTTATTTTTTTGGTCTTTGGTAGGCAAAAGCTCTTTGCCCATGTAACCCAAGCTGTCTGTGGGACACTGCGCAGGGACGTGGTGCAGTGGGGACAGCAGCTGCCTCCCAGGAGTGAGGATGCTGTGCCCTGTGCTGAGATGCTGCACTGTGCCTTTCCTCACTCACAGTGCATCCTGTTGGTGGCACTCACCACCCGGGGGCTGCTTTCACCCAAGGGTAGCATGGCAAGTTCAGTGCTGTGTCACCAAATCCCTGCGCTGCAGATGCCTTTATCTCCCTTTTGTTGATGCCTGCACTGTGGAGGTGACCTCAGGGTCCTGCATGGCACCAAGGAGCTTCTGGCAGCGGGTGCTGAGCCTCATGGAAGGACAGTGCTGTGATGAGTACATCATTATTTTGCAGCATTAGAAGGAATCTGGAGCTTCAGAAGCACAGCACACAGTAACAGGTTTTCTGGAGCCCAGTGTTTAGGAAGTGCTGTGCAGTCTGGATTGCTCTGAAGGCATGCAATGAATTAATGCATGTGTTCAGGTCGTGCTCATACGGCTGATTCCTGGTAAATCATTGAACTTGTTCTGTGCCCTGGTTGTCCCGGGGCTGCTGTAAGGAGGCAGCTCCTGGGTCATGCTGTGTGTTCAGAATGGGGTTGGGGTTTGCTGTTCTGTGAGCTCTTCCCATCCTGCAGAGGTTCCTGAGCAGCCCAGGGATCGTATCCTGCACTGAGCTGACTGAGCACAGCTGTGCCGTGGGGTGGGCGATCCCTGTGCTGCCATCACAGCATCCTGGGCTGGGGTGGGCTCAGCTGTGCTCTGTCCAATCTGTCCATCCATCAGGGAAAGGGATGAGTGTCCAAACTGTACCTGACCAGTGTGTGTGTGATGCCCAGTTCTGTCCCCATTCCAGCACATTTCTGCCCCAGGTGCTGCTGTCCCACGTCTCAGTCACCTGCTCGCAGTGGGGACTGCTCACCAACACTGGGGTCTGTTCACCCACTGGGGGAAGGTCCTTGGTGCCAAGGGCAGGGGTCTCCAAGGACAAGCCCAGAACTTACATCCCAGTGCAGTGACCCCTGTGCCACATCCCCACTCCCATCCGTTCCACCTGCCAAGTGCCAGCAGGGCTCAGCTCCAAGCAGGTCCCACCTGCATCCTGGCAGTGCGGCACCCAGCTCTGCCATCGTGTCCCCCTTCTGTGCCCCTCACCGCGGTGCAGGTGACACGCTGGCTGCCACCCTGGTCTTACGCTTCCTTTTGTCTGCAGGCTGGCTCAGGTGCTCCGATCACCTGCTGCTTGCAGGAGCGGGGAAGCAGCAACTGAAGATCGAGGGGGACTTTTGGTTTACTCAGATGACAAGAGACAATTTTGCTTCCCCCAAAGCCAAGGAAACAAAGCTGTCAGGCTTTAATGGTAGCTTGTCTCCCTCCTGCAGCATGTTTATGGGCAAACAAGCTGCAGAGCAGACCAGGCAAACTGCAGGTGAGGCCAAATCACAATCATTAATAATTAATGGCGACCGTGGCTATGTTTATTCTTGTACCGAGGCAACGTTGTGTGATGGATGCAGCGCTGTTCCAGTGGTGTGCCGTGCTGTCTGAGGTGCCCCTATCCCTGCACGTGCCAGGGCTGTGCCGGTGCCCGTGGGGCTTGGGCACAGGGCTGCTCTGGGGCAGCTCCCAGTGGGGTTGTTTCAGACTGTAGGGTCATTCCTTAAAATGCCATCGTGTCCTTTCAAAGCGTGTCCCCACGCCATCCCCCCTCTGCGCCCACCGTGCTCAGAGCGGCGCGCCAACACGCATCCTGCACTCTGCTCCATCCCACACCAGTCCTCCGCAGCGCCTGGTGCTGCTGCCAGCTGGGTTGACCTCCTCCCCACGTGTCCCATTCCAGGGACGTGCGTGGTGCTGCATGGTCCCATCTCCTGCATGACACCCACTGTGCACGCAGCTCCCTGGCCACGCATGCGGGCTTGGGCACATGTCACAGCATGATCCTGGGCATGCAGGAATGTGTCCGTGTGTGAATGATGCAGAGTGCTTTGTGGGTGGGCAGAGTGCTGTGAGCTGCTCACTGAGTGATGGGGTCTGGTTGTGGGGCTGCCCGCTGCAGCATCCACCAGGTACCCAGCCCTGACACACACCTCTGCAGTAATGCATGGATGTTTGCGAAACTTGCTCTGCCTTTTTATTTCAAGGGTAATTTAGAGACAAACACAACCTGTTCTAGGGCCCTGAAAGAGAACTTTGAAGTTGCTGCTTCCTGGAAATAGCTCTGGTTTCCTCCATGCCGTGATGACGTTGCTGTGATTCCCTTCCCACCCCTCAGCCAGTGGCCGCAGTGGCAGTGCCAGTGGGAGTGGTGCATCGTGCCCTTCAGTCCCTGGCCGTGCTGAGGTCTCATGCTGCGAGGGAACTTCTCTCATTCCCATTCATCTTTCAGCCTTAAACATGAGCCATTTTTATGTAACATTGCTCCTTTTTTCTTGCCACACCAACAAGTTGTTAAGTTGCACTTACAATATGCTGATGGCGAGCGTCCACTAATAGGTCTGACCCACGTAGCCTTCCCCATTAATTTGCAGGGTTTCTGTTTCATTGGGGGCATGTGTATTTCCTTTACAAACCCTGCGTTACCTGCCACATGTGTGGCACCATGGGGCAACCATTACTGGGGAACCACAGGGAACGTCAGGGCCAAACCGATGCGAAGCGATGCTATTGGCAATCCTCTTTGGCATCATTGAAGATCTGTTGATTTATTATTATTTTTTTTCCCGGAGTTAAATTGGCTATTCATTCCAGAACATAAAAGCCAAAGAGTTTTGGCACTACTTTCAGCCAGAACTTTTGATCCATAAAGCTTTGCTGCGTCTCGGAGCGTTTCTTGCTGGGGTGATGCATGGGAGAAGCGCGCCGTGCCGCCCCGCTGCGCTGCCCCAGTGCCCGTCTGACTCCTCTGCTCGCTGATGCTGCCCATGAGCAGCAGCTCCTGCTGTGTTACTGAGGTTTGAGCTCCTCAAGCTCCCTTTGCAGGGCTAACCCTGAAGCTGACACCTTTCCCTGGTTCCCATTTTCCCATCCTGGCACCTCTCAGCTCTGTGCAGGGCAGTGGGGCTGTGGGCAGACCCTGGTCTTCCCGAAGACCAACCTAAAACCCCAGTTTTAATTGCACCAGAGTGGGAGGTGTGGGAAAGCAGTGAGAGCAGAACCTGTGCTTCTTCCATTATGCTTTTTTCTTCTTTTTTGTTCGGCTTCATCAACCTCACCCCTCTTTTCCTTCATTGAGGAGCACACGAAGCCACGCTACGGCTTCAGCTGCGGACGTGCTTCCCGAGCTCTGCCCTCTGAAACCTGCTCTCCTCTCCTCTCTCCCTTTCCTGCCCTGCAGTGCCCATCCCCTCGAAGGCCAACGGCACCATTCCCTCCCTGATGAACAAGGACGGGCTGATCGGAGGGGTGACGAACCCCAACGAGGTTTTCTGCTCGGTGCCCGGCCGCCTCTCGCTGCTCAGCTCCACCTCCAAATACAAGGTGACGGTGGGGGAGGTGCAGAGGAGGCTCTCGCCCCCCGAGTGCCTCAACGCCTCCCTCCTCGGCGGTGTCCTACGCAGGTAAGGGTGGGGGGTGAGGAATTGCTGCTGTGTGGTTCGCTGGGGAACGGCCTTTTTGTTGCTTTCTCTTCTTTCCCTCCAAACCTAAAAGCTTATGCTGGAATCCAGACAGCTGTGGATGCTCCATCCTTGGAGGTGCCCAAGGCCACGTTGAATGGGCCGTGGCAATCTGGTCTAGTGCTTGATTTAATGGTTGGCAACCAGCCCATGGGCAGGGGGTTGGATCTGGATGTCCTTGAGGTCCCTTCTAACCCAACCCACTCTATGATTGTGATGATTCTATGAATTATGGTCGTTCTAATATGAATGGCGGCATCATTTTTTTTTTTCTCCTTTCTTTCTCTTTCCAGAGCAAAATCAAAAAACGGGGGTCGTTGCTTAAGGGAAAGGTTAGAGAAAATCGGCCTCAATCTACCCGCAGGACGGCGCAAAGCTGCCAACGTCACCCTGCTGACATCACTGGTGGAAGGTAAGAGCCCAGAGAGATGGGAGTGCCGAAACTCCAACACCCCTCATTTGCAGCTTTCCACAAATGAGAGCACTTAAAGCAAAGTATGCCGTGGTCAACACTGAGACTGGAAGTGCCCTTTGTTGGTGTCTGCGCTGACTGAAACACGTCTGTCCTCTGAAACCGAGGCATTTCTGTCCGAGCAGTCATAGCTCATTTGTGAAAAGGCATTTGGGACCTGAATGGGGCGAAACATTGCAGCTGTGAGCTCCCCATTGGCCACCCCTCAATTCACTATTCACTCGGCGAAGCAGTTTTAGGAAAAGTTGGTCAAGACCACAGAAACCGAATAGAAAAAGGTGAGAGTGAAGCTGATGAGGTGTCAGGCCAATGCTGTTCTGCAGCTCTGCGTGCCCACGATGGCCACCAGCTTGCTGTCCTTGGGAGCACCGAGGGCTTGGCTGGGGCTCCATAGACACACAGAATCACCGAGGATGGAAAAACCTTCTCGGATCCCCATGTGCCCACTGACCCCAGGTGCCACATGGAGCAGTGCTGCTGTTCAGAGCTGCCCATTGGGTTGCTCCCCTCCCACCTTTGGCGCTATGGAAATGACGATGTGGTGCTGCATCTTTGGAGAAAAGGACGTGGGACGCAGACAGACGCAGTGACAGCTCCGACTCCCTTCGAGCTCCGGAATCCATTGTGTCCGTGCCCAGCGTGCTGGAGGCAGCTGCCTGCAGATTCTGAATAGAAAATCATCTCCATTGTCGCCAGCAAATTAAATGACCCGCTTCATTAGGCGGAGGTTGTTACCGAGGGCAGTTGGTTTCTGCTGAATGAAAGGTTGATTTCCATGAAAAGAAAAGAAGGAGAAGAATGAAAGAAAGAAAGGAAGGAAAGAAGGAACGTACGGTCTGATTTCAGGTGGCTGCTGATGTTTTGGTTACCATTTACCAGCTCGTAGTAAATAAATAGTGGTGTCATAGGTGCTCGCTGGATACGATCTCCTGCAAGTCAGTACTGGAGGGGTTTCACCCAGAGGAAGGCATTACAGCACTGTCATTGCACACAGAAATGGATTGGTCCCCCTGCACCCGGGGTACCTCCTTCTCAGATGTTTGCTGCCATGCTTTATTCTTCTCCCCTCTGCCTTCCCCATTTTTGGTGTCACAATGACTGTTTTTCAGCAGCTGTTGCACTTTGTTTTCTAACATGTGAACAACCGCAGTTCCAATTCTTTAAGTTCTCCTTATCTGCTGCTCCTTTGGAGGAGGAGGTGGAAGTGGAAGCAGCAGCTCTGTGTGGGAAGCACACAGGCACATTCCTTGTGCCACAGCTCTGCAGAGCAGCCCTGGAGCCGGGCGGGCTGTGCTGGGATCTGGGTTAATGCTATCAGGATGGATGGCCTCGTGTGTGCGAGCCGCAGGGGGCACATCCAATTAGCTCTGCCTGCCCGAGCAGGATTTCGGGTGCTGGATGTGATCGATTGCCATCAGCTCTGATTATTTCCAGGGGGATGCCTGGAGATGGATCAATTCCATCAATGGGTGGGCTCTTCAAGGGGTGGTGGATATGTGCACGTACAGCCAGCCTGAGGGCCTGGCTTGCTGAGGTCTCTTTTCACCCTCCTTTTAAGTCACCAGAGGAAGGGACCAGCTTCTGTTTAGAGGTGGTGATAGTTCATTTAGACCCACATGCACTAATTGTCTTGTAGATGGATATGAGAAACTCTTAGTGGTGTCCACCAGCTTGAGGGCCATGGGTGGAGAGGGCTCCTGGCTGGCAGTTGTGAAAGGAGAGCATCCTGATTCCAGCAGAAATAAACCCTGACAGTGCCACATCTGAGGCTGTTGGAGAAAATGTCCCCTTGCAGCCGGGTGCTGATGCATTGTGTGAATCTGTCCCACCTGCAGGTGAAGCTGTCCACCTGGCCCGGGATTTTGGCTACGTGTGTGAAACAGAATTCCCAGCCAAAGCGGCGGCAGAGTACCTGTGCCGACAGCACTCCGACCCCACGGAGCTCCACACCAGGAAGAACATGCTGCTGGCCACCAAGTGAGTGCTGTGGTGGATCGGACTCCAGCCATGGTGCAGGGGCAGCCACAAAAGCTTGGTCTTCTGCAGGGTGGATGTGGTTGCATTGCTGTATGCAGCCAGACCTGGTCAGGGCTCCGAGCAGCCTGATCGAGCTGTAGATGTCCCTGTTCATTTAATCATAGAATCATTCTGGTTGGGAAAGCCCTTTCAGATCACTAAGTCCAATCCCAGCCCACTCCCTCCATGCCTACTGACCATGTCCTCAATTGCCACATCTCCGTGGTTCTGAATACTTTCAGGGATGCTGATCCACCACTCCCTGGGCAGCCTGTGTCAGTGCATCCTTTTTCTCATAGCACAACTCGTGGCCATCACCTCTTGTCCTATTGCTGTTACCTGGGAGCAGAGGCTGACCCCTCCCTCACCACAACCTCCTTCAGCTCATTGTAGGGAGTGGTGAGATGGCCCTGAGCCTCCTCTTCTCCAGACCGAACCACTCCAGTTCCCCCAGCCACCCCCCATAAGACTTGTGCTCCAGACCCCTCGCAGCTCCGTTGCCCTTCTCTCGACACACTCCAGCACCTCAATGTCTTTCTTGTCACGAGGGCTGCTGGACCAGATGACCTTTAAAGATCCCTTTCAACTCAAACTTTCTCTTCCAGGCAAATTTGCAAAGAGTTTGCAGACTTGATAGCACAGGACCGCTCACCTCTGGGCAACAGCCGCCCCTCACTGATCCTGGAGCCGGGCGTGCAGAGCTGTCTGACTCATTTCAGCCTCATCACCCACGGCTTTGGTGGCCCGGCCATCTGTGCAGCACTGACAGCCTTCCAGAACTACCTGGTGGAGTCCCTCAAGGGGCTGGATAAAATGTTCATCAGCAGCACAGGGAACGGGCACACGGCCGGAGACTCCAAAGCGTCAGAGAAGGAAGGGAAGCATCGGAAGTGAGGTGCAGACCCCATCCCCTGCCTGGGGAGCTCCCACCGCCCGAGGAAGGTCAGCAGTGCCAGGAGGACGCGGCGCTTTCTGAACCGCTCCATTTGAACTGGGGGTGAAAACTCAAAGTGCAAACTACAAAAAGAGAGAAACGGATTGAAATTTAGCAGGAAGAAAACAACTCTTGACAGACGTGGCGAGGAGGAGAAAATAAGCCAGTTTGATGGCTTTTTTAGTTTTGCCTTTTTTTTTTTTTTTTTTTTTTTAAATCACAGATGCAGGAAACCAAGTCATGTGCAATTTTTTTTTTTTTTTTCTTTTTTTTTTTTTTTTAAAGCCCGTAATAACATCCTCACACGCTCCAGGAATTTGTTCTGAGCAAAGAACTGAGAAGAGCAAACAAAAGCCGCCCCAATGCCAGGAGTGGGGGCACGAGTGGCAGAGGGCACAGAGCTGTGCTTGGATCTGTCAGCTGGCTGTGACGGGCAAGCAAGTTGACCCAAGCAACCTTCCTATTCCTGTCACCCCACCTACAGCCCAGCCCTAAAGCCAGGCCAGGAGAAAACCTCCAGCTTTGGGTTTGAAGCAGTTTCAGGCTTCATTTTGCAGAGCACCTGCGATGCTCCCAGCGGGGACAAAGCAGGAACACTGAGCCCAGGACTTGCTGCAACTCCACAACCCACAGAGAACAGCACACACGTTTTTACAATTATTATTAAGAATCGTGAATTAAGCACAAGGAGCAGAACTTGAACCAGGCCAAACTGAACTGTTCTAAATCTGTATATATTTATTTATGTGTAATTAAATCTGAAAGTTTTAAAATGTGCAGTGCGAGTTATTTATATCAAATTGAGTTGGTTATTTGGTTTGGTTTGGTTTTTTTTTTTCCTTTTTGAAAGATGGACGTTTCTGGTCTTTCTGCCATTAGAAATGGGAATGAAGTTTTGGATACACAAAACTGTAGCATGGACGAGATAGGCTGTGATAACAATAGAAGTTATGCAGGATTTTGTACTTGCTGTTGTTTCTCTTAATGCTGCAATAGATGTACAACACCCGCACCGTAATGTCATTCTCATTACCTTAATAAAACCTCTTTTTATTTGAAGAAAGCACCTCCACCGTCTTTGTGAACGAAGGTCCTTCTGCCTCTGCGGCTGAACCTTGAAACAGTTGTGTAGATTTGAGAAAGGACACCCTCCAGTTCCACAGCTGATATCCATCTGATCGGCACAGCCAACCAAGAGAAAGCTCAGGGAATGGAATTCCAGGGGAGCAGACATGGCAATGGCATTTGGCAAAACCAAAGAGGGGTTGTTGCTGAGAACGTCTGCAGTCTTCCCAACACATCTGTTGCTATCACAGCTAGAGAGCAGGCAGCTGGGCGTGGGTTTCAGCATAATTACCTTGGAATGTTCTCAGAATTCTGCTTCCTCTGGAGGTTGCAGAAGAGGACAGCGATAACAGAAATAATCCAATAGGTCCCAGAAGGAGCCACAGGCTTCCAAAGGGACCCCTGTTTCAGCAAGAACACTTTATGTGCTCATGTAGTTTGTGGGGATGGCTCTGAGTCAGAAGCCTGCACCCTGAATACTCCCTTCTTAAACTTACGTGGGGATGCACATAAATTGGGAATCAGATTGGAAACGTCCCATGGTATGAAGCTTACAAAAACAAAAACCTAAATGACAGGCTCCGCAGGTCTGGTTTTGCTCTGGACCTTCCCAAAGGAACAAGGAGAAGCCAGGGAACAGAATGGAAATCCTAGAACCACATTAGACACTTGTCTACACTTCAAAGCTATTTTGGATAATGCAGGGCGTGAGCTGAAAGCACAGAAGTCATTGCTATATAAAATTATTCCAAAATAGGAGTGGCCTGTTCTGCATCACAATCCATTTTAAACACGGATTACGATAAAGGAGAACGAGGTGCTTTTGTGCTGGAGTGCAGGTTTCCCCCCCCATGGAGCTGCTTAGCATAACCATCCTGAAATAATTCAACATGCAGACATCCCATGGCACATGGTATCAGAGAGCAAACTGCTGTCCGATACGTGATGAAAGTGCATGCACACTCATATTAAAGAGTGAAATCCTTCATAATGTAGTCGTGTTATGAAAACTTGACTTGGTGAGGGCATTCTTTGAATATCAAGCAACTCTTAGGCACAGCAGCGATGAGCAATGCAGACAGAGAATCAGGATATGCCTACAGTAATTACATATCATGTCCATCAGGCGGAAAAAATACCTCTCTCCTCATTTTCCTCTTTGGGCTCTGCAAGTCTTTTGAATGTTTTATGAGGCATTTAGCAGTCTGGTGCCTGAAAGGCCAGGATGCCACCAATTACCCTTTTTAATGGGAAGGAAGTTTGATGATTTGGATTCACTTGTTGATTTTGCCATGGATGTTCAGGACGTGTCCACTGTCAGTCACGTTGGGTCAACATCTGAAGGCACTGAGACTTCTCAAACGGGCTGAGATTTTGGGCTTTCTGCATGCATCCAGGTAGAGCACAGCTTTCAGAGGTTGTGCCAGGCCAGCCTTGTTTGCACATTAATGCTGGAGTTTCCCTCCTGAGGACACTGTCAAACAAGGCCGTGTCCCGGTGTGTTCTTTGCCTTTACATCCCAAGAGAAAAGGGCTTTTCACACAATTTGGGGCTCCACCCTGCTATAAATTCCCACAGCGATTGCAAATCGTGGGAAAATACGTGGGATTGTGTCAAGGAGTAAAAATAGATTCGGGCTCATGGTTTCTACCCTTGTTACAGAGAGCTGTGGAATTCCAATCCTAAAGGGGAAGTTAAAAAAAAAAAAATTCTTTTTCCAATTAATTTTGAATGGATGACAAGTCCAGGGAAACCACATGGCAATCCTTGACAAGTGGAAAAGAGAACATTAACAAGATCTCTTCATTCCTCTGCAGTCAGCTATCCCAAGGGTGAACTCTGACTACTGCACCATTAAGACAGACAAGCAGAGGCTGTGCTTTGGCATTCTGCATGGCTTTGGATAAACTAAATAATTACCTTTAAGTAGGCGACCTTAAAAGCAGCATAGTAATAATACCTCTCCATGCTAAAACAGCACAATAAACAGACTTTGCTGACCTGTAGTTAATGCATTCTTTCATATATGAGAGAGTTCATTAAGTTCCAAGCTTTACATAGACAGTCCGAGGAGCCACACAACGAGCAAAGGAAGTTTTTCCTGTAAGTGCAACTGAATCGAGACATCCAAAACAAAACCATTTTCCCATCGGGCATTAAAAGAAGTGGTATTTGCAAGGGAGACAAAGTGCTTGCTTGAGAGATTGATTTAGCAGCCTAGACAAATGCATGCAGCGTCCCACTATTGCCTTAATTATCCTAGCAGACTTCAGGAGAAACAACCCAAACCCAATCATTACACAGAATGTGAACATGTTGACCCAGAAGGTATCATTTTGGTCTTCCTGCCCAACCTTCTTTGTTGTGCAAAGAATTCCCACTGTGGCCACCTGAACATCGCTGCATTTCCAATAGGATACCACAAACAGCAATCATAATTCCAGGCACTGAATGCACACCCAAGCTTTGACCCTGTAACTGCAGTGCTGCAGCATCCCAATAACCTCCCAAAAGCAGAGGGGTGAAGGATGCTCCAAATGGCTCCTTTGGGTGTTTTATCCTGACACCTTCAGCTGCTTCCTATTCTATCCTTCCCAGCAAACCAGAAGTTGAAAACACAACCCGAAACTCAGAAGTATTTCCCTTAAGGATAGCTTCGCTTTGGTCACAAAGCCTGTAGCCAAAGATCTGTTAAATGAATGCAGCACAGCTTTTTAGTGGTGCGAAATGAACTCAGGGAAAGAGCAAGATGTCATTCCAAGAAGCTCAGCAGCACACAAAGAGATGCCTCTGGATGCTAGAGCCTTCTCACCTGATGATTGCTCTGCCTGCACGCAGCTGTCTTGGGTTCCTTCCTGAGTTTTCCACTGTACAAAGCCTGAAATTGGCTGAAGAACATCCAAAAGGCAGAATTTCCTTGGTGTGTCTGTTCTTGAATGACCTGCACTCAACATGAAACCACAATCAGCCCACTGTTTTCAGTCCAAACCAAATTTTCATGCATTCCATGTGGTTTTATTATCCCTTGCAATAGATACATTTCTGCTAATTCTCCAATGGCATCTCGAATTTACTTATTCTCAAGGGCATGCTGTGAGAAGTAAATCATGTTCTTACTTAAACTGTTACAGATCTGAGCAAAGGGAATCCATAGTTTGTTTCAGACTATTGGTGGCTGGAATACCACATACTTTTATTCTGCTGTTCACAGAGTCTCTTCACACCTTGGAGACATTCCAAAAATCTATGTGGCTCTGTAAGGAGAGAGCTTCTATTTCCTATGCAGACCGTATCATCCATGGACATCTCTTTTCTACCAGGTTTACATCTCAGTAATAGGTGGGAAACCCACTCAGAGCATCTTTCAGAGCATTAGGAAGAATGCTGAATAGCTGAGAGAATCTTTAAATTAGGTCTAACCTGGTGAAGTCCAAAGGCATAAATGAATATTCCCATTTTAAGTGTATATGAACTTGTCACAGTGCCTTTGGATCTGGTGAGCTAAGGAGTAGTGCAGCTGAATGCAATGAGGAAAATAGCTCTGTTCAGTTCAGGGCAAAGATGTACTTTTCTATTAATGCCATGTGTTAATAAGCTTTTTCACAGCTTTTGAACACAAAGAACCTTTTGGTTTAGTTCTCTGCAAATTTTGGAGCCAACACAGAAACCAAAACCGTATGGCTTTACAGCTTCTAAATACATCAGCAGAGGTTAACCTCAAATCTTTAACCAGCTTATGCAAACATCAGAGATGAAGGCAAGCTGACCTCTGGCAGTGTTCACACAACCAGCCTTCCTGGTGTTTCATCAGAACACGGGCAATAAACACTAAAGTAAATATGAAAACACAACCTTAGGAATATCAGATGTACCAGACCAAAGCCTCAGGTGTGCTGGTTTGGAGAGGTTTCTTGTGTGCTTTGAGTGAATACCACAAGACATATGAAATTAGAGCTCAATTTTAATTGTTTTCTTCTCAAAGGTGTCCATTCAGAGCAACACCACTTTAAGGATGACCATGAAAAAGTGGAAAAAGCAAGTCTGAATCTTAGCATGATATCTTTTAGCCATTGTCCAAAACAGCATTACATGGTGCTGTAGCTTTTCCTCCTTGGCATACTGCTGCCAGTAAAGCACTGTAAGCATCCTCACTTCAAGCACTTGGCAGTAAGCACCAAAAGCAATTTTGCAAGGGAGACTGGCCTGACACTGCCTGGAAAAAAAAAACAAACAACCCACAACAAACTAAAGATGTGCTTATCAGTGCTTGGATTAAATAAGAGAATGGGTTGAGAACGGGTTCCAACCACTCTTTGGTCATTTTGGCAACTCACGAGCTACCAGACTTCACTTCCCTGCTTGTAAAACCCATGGATCATCGTGTGTCATAGGATGATTTTCCAACAACTACAGAAGAGAAAATGCATGCCTTTAAAGGGAAGAGGCAACCCTGTACTCAGCCATTGCTATGCAAGGTATAAATTCACCCCTTCTTCATAATGCTGAGTTTCTGTGACCACCTGGTGATCTGCACAGAGATGGAGCAGCCAAACAGGTTTGCAAGGAGGAGGTATAGTGGATGCAAGATCACTGCCCTCTGCTGAATGGAAGAGGCTTCCGAGAGTCCACAAATCACGAGGTCTGAATCATCTTTGCCTTCTCTAAATTAACTAAAGGAGATGCACTATTTTCACAGTTGTGCACAAACACCAAAAATAGTGATGATCTCAAAGAAATCTCCCTTATGCAACAGGTATTTTACCCAAGTGAAAATGCACTTAGTCAAGTCACTGCTTCAGACAACTGGATTATTTGGTTGCCTTAAAATTCATTTATAGATCCAAGTTCATTCTATACTCACTGGTATTCAGATTATCCACATTTTAGTTTCACCTCTCTATAGGTTTGATCAGCAAAATTTAATTTTGAATAAAGCTTTACTGTATTGCACAGGGAGAACATACTGCCAGTCCCCAAGCATCCTTTCCCCTCTCACCGTTCCTAAACAGAGGGTTTGCTCTATTCCTTCCACAGCTGTCTTGAGTTAGACTACATGAATAAGCTTATTGGATAACTACCGAATTGCACATTAGCACAGAAACAAAACACTTTAAATGTCACTTCACATTTTCAAGACAACTCTTTTCTTTTTAGCCTGGTCCTCAGCAGGTCATGGGTACTCAGAGGATCAAACCAATGCAGCCATGACCACGGAAAACAAAGTAGAAGTACATGTTTTAATGGCACCACTTTCATTTTCCTCTTTTTAATATCTGCTAAGACAACTTACGTCTGCTTAGTTTGATCAGTGCTCACGTGAGAATTTCCTGCACTTAGTTTTGTTGATGGCAGCCTGATAACAACATATGGAACCTCTGAAAAAGGTTAAAGCTCTAAAGAGTGTTAAATGGCTCAAAGGATAAACTTTTTACAGGTAGGATAAATTAGTTTTTCCTTCACACGGTGCTTGACAAGTAGCAAAGTTAGAGGCAGTCAGAGGCATCCTTAGAGCTCAAACTATTTTATACAGAATATTCTGTCCCTGCTTTAGGCTGGAAAACTGAATCAACCTAATCCACTGTTATGAACACAGCCCTTTTACCTTTAACAAAGAGGAAAAAAATAAAAAGCATCTTCTGACTGTGTAAGGTACGCTGCTACTGGGGTCTGCTGGAACAAGCCAACTCCTTCAGCACAGCCCAGACCCAGCAGCTCTGCACCTACCCTCACACTCCCAGCATCAGCACAGCCCTGAGGCACACAGCTCTGCTCCTTGTAAACCGATCTCATGGCTCCCGAAGAGATGAGCTGGTGCAGTGATCTGTTACACACTCACACACTGCTCAGGAAAAGACCATCTTTAAACAGGAAACCTAAAACGAGAAAAAGTGCCTTGTTAACTCTTTAGGCCCTGAGGCTTTGCTAGTAAAACATATGGTGAGAATTACCAGCCAAAGCAAAGCAGAGCAGCTCACGGTGGATACAATACCCTGCAAATGTTACCTTGGTTTACAACTTTTATTTTTTTAATATAAAGAACAAAAATACATTAGTAAAAAGCAGTTTTTTTTTCCCCTCACCTTGTTCAATTTAGTCCCAAAGGTGAAACAGACAGAAGATTTTCTTCCCCTTAATAGGAAGCTTAAAACTTTTCCTCTCAACACCCCATGCATTATAATCAGGGAAGTGGAAGTCAGATGTTTCTGAATCTAAAGCTCAGCATCACAGCAGACCTTTAAAACATCCCACAAGGTTATATAGCGAAAGTGTCCCTTAAAAAGTATAAATTCTTGAGAAACACACAAAACAACCTCCCTCTTCTTTAGAGCCCACAGACAAACCTCACTGCAGACCTTTTCTTTTGTTCAACTGCTTTGTCAAAAAAGAAAAGCAAAAAAAAAAAAAGGCTGTATTTGTTCATTTCTAGAGGTTGCTGCTCTGTTGGTTTCTGATGTAACCCCTTGCATCCTCCACTCAATGGGGGATTCAGATCCTGGTCCTTGCCCTCAGGCATAACATATGTTCCACTGCAACCTGAATTCAACGGGGATGTTTGCAATGGAATAATTGTTTTATGTTTATTAATCACCTGCATGCAAATAGGTGCCAATAAAAACACCAGGCAGAGCTTCTGCCAGACTTTTAATATGATCTAATAGCACCACAGCCCAGTTTTGGTGTCTGAAATAATGACTGCCTCCAATAAAGAGGCTCTGCAACTTTGGTATGCAGTGACAAAAATATCACATCAGCTCACCCTGCAATGATGAGTTTGAAAAAGAGAAAAAAACCTGCAAAAACATTCAACATCAGTGGTGAAATAAGATATGCTGCATATTAAGCTGAACAACTACATTAATACAACATGAAGAGGTGAGATTTCAAAAACAAAAGTAGAACACTACTCATGTTAAATGTGACCTGCCAGGAGAAAATCATGCTAGGGACAACTTATGAGTAAGAAAAAAAAAAACAGAAACAGTTTGAGGCTTCAGACAGTCAGTTTCAGTGAAATCTTTTAGAGTTGTATGGTGGCTTTAAATAAAACTAACTGCAGACAAGAGTACAACAGAAAGAGTTCATAATTAGACTGATTCTGGAAAAAATTAGAAGACTACATAGTCTGATGTGACTTCAGAGTTAGATTTAAGGGCAGTGTTATGAGGCAGGATGAGTAAAAGCACCAGAGCTGCAAGTTTATTCTGTGACACTGAGTGAGGCTCAGCCTCCACAGAAATACCTGGTTTACAACTGGCAACTTTCTGAAGAGATGTACATTCTGCATCCACTGAAATGGAGCTCTGCCTACTACCTTCAACAGACTCAGGATTTCAGGGTAAACCCATGCATGGTACCAGCAGCAGTGGTGCCCCAGCCACATCCTGAACATCACCTGTACAGAGGATATAAATGCAAGTACCCTAAAAACACAAACAGAGCCAAGCCAAAAAAAAGCTTAGACAGATGGATTGCTAGCTTGGTCACCTCTCCCAGGTACATAAACTGAGGTGTTATATCATGTCACACAATATAATCCACACAGAATCTTGTACACATCCATTTCCAAGACTGTTTTTCCAAACTTAAGATACATACCCAAAGAGAATGTTTGAGATAGCTGACCTGAACAATGTAATTTCAAGCAGGAAACCAGTCCCAATTTCTCTCAAAAGAATCACTTCTGGGCAGTGTTAAGGATCAGCCACATGAACATCATTTAAGGCTCCTACCTACAACCCAGACAATATCAAGGATTTTTCTTACAGAAGGAGCTCTAGCTAGCTGAGAGTAATCCAGGGATTTATGAAAAGTGCTGAAATTACTTTTCATTGAACTTGTAGAGACAATTAAGAAAAGAACAATCACACAATCGCTAAGTATGTTTAAATAACACAGCTCCAAGCTAACTGTCCCAGAAGAACATCCTTTCCCAGCATCCAGGTGAGTAAAAAAGTGAAACTAGTGTTTTAAAATCCACTCTGTTTATTGAAAACCTCTCTTTTCACTTGGATTATATTGAAACCAAGAATAACAAAAGGAAGAATAACAAAAATAAGTCTTTGAAAAATCAGATTTTTATAACGCAGAGGTAAAGTCCTGTGAAAGATGAAATAGGATGCTGGTATGTTCAGCACAAAACACTTGCCTGCTGTTTGCTGAGCTTTAATACTCAGCATGAGGAAGATGACTGCAAATTCTCTTCCAGAAAATATGGTAGTTTTCCCACACATCAGAAAACTTACAGTAAAAACTATCAGAATAAGTGTAGGAGCAATCTGAACGTAGCACCATTACCAACAAATCACATCTCATCTTCATGAATGATGAAGGGAAGGAATTATTTACTTTAACACTCCCAGGAAGCACCAGTGGAATCAAAAGATGGAACTAGCATAAATGTCAACCTTTATTCAATCTCGCAGCACAGTACACATGCCTTGGGTGCTTCAAATGAATATTAAAAAAGCAAAAACTGAACAAAAAAAGACTGTTGAAGAAAGATCTCAGGGGTTAAGACAACGCTTTTAGAAGGGGTACATTGTCCACTTCATGGATGCCATCCTTGTCAATGAATCGGGCATTGAAAGAAGTCAGATTTAAGACGAAACGTTTCTGAAGCTGTTCAAAAGACAAAGACAAAGGAAGTAAGATTAATTCACAGCTTAAACAGAACAGAATAGTGTTACTTAAGGGATGTGCTATTGCTCATCAGAATTTCCATCCTGTTCTTGTTGCTAATGTTTAATGTCACTAGAACTAGGGTGATTTTCACAGCTCAGGAAACATATAGTACAATTTTGCTATAATATCATCCATGTTAGACCAGACATTCAAAGCACAAAAGTCTGTGAGCATGGAAGACATTTAAGGAGGAAGACAGCAGGCTGTAACTTAGGACACAGTGTAGGCATCAAAAAGAATTTAAACAGAACTTTGTTAGGACAAGTCTTCCTAATGTTTCCCTAGTTGCTTCTTCCCAATGATATTAAATTCAATCTCAAAGACAAGGACAGAGAATATTCTCCTTCAATAAAAGCCTTGGAGTCCAAAATGATACATTTACGCTAAAACAGATTATGAACTTTAAGGTCAAATCTTCACCCCAATTAGACTTAGATATCACTTCACAAGCTGCAAGAGAAGTATCTTCTAGTTATGTGTAACACAAGTAACAGAGGGATGCTTGCATTACATTCAGAAGCAACATAAAAGAAAGTCAAAGACTGTCTGTATCAATATTATGCTAAGCATGAAAGAAGCACAAGTAAAGAAAAGCAATTAAGCTTAAAGTTTATGTTCTGGAGGACATGAACCATGCTAAGACAACGCAAGCGCCCACAAATCCTTTTCCTCAGTAGCTATTCCACATCTGGTCAATGTGCATTTATTATCCCTTCTGGCAAAGAGAGCAAAATATGCGACAAGAGGAACAGGAAAATACCAGCAAATGAATGCAAACAAACATTCCTTTCTCAGGATCACAAGGACCCAACTTTGGCAACTCACCTCCTCTAGACATTTCTTTAGGAGCTCCACAGCTTCCTCACGTGTGATACCTGAAAGAAAACATCCCCAGATTGATTTAATTAGAGGCCATCTCTCTCAACAGAAACTTTATTAAATTTAAACAACTTTTCAGCTGAGCACCAAAAACTCTACTTCCCAGCTCACAGAAAACACTTTCCAGATGTACTGAGGACGCCCTGAGCTGAAGCACTCACACTGCAACAAGCCATTGAGAATCGATTTGTTCCACTGAATGGGAAGCATGACGGAATTTTGCCTCCCATGGCCAGGGAGCAGGCTTTGGAGGAGTCCAGCCTCCCCTCTCCCCTCAAGTTTATTACAGTTTTAAATCAGCTCCATCTGTCCACAGCCGGCTGCAAGTCAGTGACAGTAGGCGGAGATTGGTTTTAGTGCTATGTTCCCTGCTGGGTATTAGTTTTAATAATGGGAAAGGCACGTGTGTGATGCCCCTGCTATTCTCACACATTAGGATAAAATCCAGCACTGGATAGGGATGGCAAGCCATGACAACCTATTGTCGTTTACTGCTTTTCCTCTTTTCACAAGGAGTGATGAAAATGTGGTACTATCATTTGTAAAGGACATTGCTAGAAAGCAGCTAAGCTCCGTGGATCTTATTTCTAAAGCTTTTGTTCCTGACTCACATTCACTGTTCAGTTAAAAGAGCTCCCATTAAAATAAAATTGCCATCCTACAGCTGCTTTTCTTGCAGCAGATACATGGAAGGATTGCTAAGTGAACAAATTCACTGTGAGAACAAACTCAGCTTTGCACACAGTAAGGAGTAAAGCAGTTTTGTAGCTGAAGTCAAAGATGTCATTAATTACAGTTCCAGCTTTTTACATCTCCTCAAATAGGGATGGAGCACGAATCTAAAATTAAGACTTTAGACAGCTACAAGCATACACAATTACAATCAACTACTGTGCCAGCTGACCTACAGAGTTCTGACATAACCTTGTTAGGAAGGAAAGTCTTTTCACCCCTGTATTTCTGATGTACCACAAATGAAACCAATCCAAAATGTGGAGCAAAAAGATGGGGGGTTGCACTCTGGAGACCAATATTCTGGAATACCCATGTCATAGCATGAAACAAGTAGAAAATAAAATGCTATTTATTAAAAATTACTAACAGTAAACTGTCTAGAAAAGTCCAGTCGTGTTCTATGTGAAACTGGAACTTCTTTCACTTGCAGATCACTATGCTTCAAATAGGAAAATAGTAAGGACTGTCTAGTTTCACTTGACCCCTTCAGCAAAAGCAGAAGGCAACCTTCAAAGCCACATTTAGGCTAACAGTCAAGTTTAAACCTGCAGCAGCACAGCAGTTGTGATGGACCACCTGGCTCTGTACATGCCAAACTCACTCTTTAAGCCTTTAAGTTATTAATCAACAATGGGAGAACTTGTCTCTCTGCAGGCTCCACTTACCTGGCTTGTAATAGCGGTCCAGGATGCTGAGGGTAAGGAATGCACCATATCCATGTGCTGCAAAAGGAGCTTTAGCCAGAGCTGCAAGGTAATCCATGTAATAAAGGGCAGGACCTTCGTGGTCATCGTAGCCAGCCAGGAGAAGGTTGACATGGTAAGGGGTCTGCAAACAGAAACACCACTTTGTCAGAGCAGCCACATACAAGGTTTTGAATCTTAATTGTCATGCAGAATAGCAGCACAGCTGGTTTTGCAATTCTTTATGATAAAATGACTAGCAATTGACATCTACACTCTTTGCAGGAGATGCTGGACTTCAGTATCAGAAAAGATTAAGTCTCCTGGTGTTACAACATGCAGAACAAAAAGTAAAATTCTGCCCTTTTTTCCCTTTAAGATTTCATGGTACATTCAAACAAAATGAAAACTTTAAGAATTTTTTGTGAAAACGTGATTAACTTCAACATAAAAGTTGACAATTTTTACTGTCAACAAGGGAGCACAATGTGAGCATTCTGCAGTCTGTAAGAACTTCTGTTAATTTAATATGCTCTTTTCTCAGTCACGCTACTGTTAACCAGAGACCATTTTAGCACACATGAAAGCTTATAAATGGTGCAGCGTGAACAGATATATACAGTGTTGCACAGCCTTAATTGGCAATTAATTTTTTACTGCATGTACCAAACTTAATCTTTACTATTTTGCTAAATTGATCACACAAAGCTCTAAGGAACTGGTTTGTTACCATTTAAAATTGACTAAGATGCTGCAACACTACATCACCATGATGTACATTAATCTTAAAGCATTTCAGAGTATCTGTAACCAGTAACTATGCAGCTGTAGTCATTTAATTAGGCTGCATTTTATTTGTTCTCCAACATCACACAAGCTGATATTTAAAAGCCGTGACACAAGATCACTCAAATCACTGTGTGACTCTGAATTACCAACACTGGCATATGTGAGACACTCAACAATAAACAAATGGTGTTGTACAGACTCCAATCTGTAAGCTATTTTTCAGTTGTATGCTCTCCTACTGAAGGGCTGAGACAACTTAAATGCAAATAAATTGTTACCTGGGCTATTACTCAAGAAAGGTAGATCTAAACATTAGAATACATGATCTGTTTATTACTTCCATGATAAATGAAAGTATTCTCATACACCAAGCCTTTCTGTTGAGTTTACAGGAGTACAGGAGGACTCAGTTCACACCCTCAAACAGTGACATTCATGCTCACAGTGCAGTAAGATGCAAATACTCAGAATCACCTACAGTTAAGTGGAACTTAACTGTATTAAGTGAACATTCCTCCGTTTCCAAGGCTCCATTCCAAACTAAACCCATGCCCACTGCCCTAAGCTCTTCAGAATACTGCTGAGACTAAAGGGTTACCAAACACACGGCATTGCTGTCACTCCAGGATAAATGCAGCTCCCCCAGATTTGCCATTAGAGGCTAAATTTTTCACCGCAAGTAGCTTTGCACTTTATGCTGTTTGATTTAAAATAACTACAGCAATTAAGGCACGTGTGAAATTCTTCAGAACTTACAGCTGAAGAGAACAGCTGTGATAAATACACCAAACCAACAGGCTCAGGAGGCTGGGCTGCGACAGGCAGCGGTGTGACATCTGGCGGAAGCCAAAGTCACAGCAAGGGGGAGGGAGAAAGGTGGGCGTGAGGAAGCATCCTGCCAAGCGTGGACAAGGAGAGAGGAACTGACAGCCTTTCCTTGGACTCAGGCCAGAGCCTGTCACCTATAATTAAACACAGCATCACAACCCAACAAGAAGTTGAACTTCAAAGGGTTTAAGGGGCAGAGGGGTATTTTTCCTGCTCCCCACCACCATGCACACTCAATAGTAGGTCCAACATATTACACTGATTCACCTGCTGAATCAAATGCCAACCTGGAGGCACCAGTGGAAGGGGAACTGTAGCACCACTCACCTATTTAAAAGCCAACAGGCTCCAAATGAAGCATCTAGATTTGCCTCACAAATGAAAAACAAGCAGCTCCCTGCAGACACTGCTTTAGATTATAAAGCCCTGCATGAAGCTGACTATGACTTGCAAGAACACCACAGATCTGACACACGTGCCCATCACCTAGAGCAATGTCCTCAGCACTGGGAATGTAATGTAAGAAATAAGTTGTACTATCCATGTAACATCCTTATTACAAGACTTTGTGCATCACTGGCTGTGTGAATAGAAGAAAGCTAACCATTTCCTTCAAAATACAACCTATTTCTACTCCAGCAACAGCTTCATGTCTGCATGCTTTGCTAAAGCTTGAGAGCTTGGCTAAAGCAGCGACCACACTCTAATTAGAATGGTTTCAAAATTTATCAACATAAATGTAATACTGCACAGATGCCTCACTGTACCAGCTGGTTAACACTATTTGTTTTCCCCTTCCATTTTTCATGCTTCTGTTTCTACTCAGAAAGTAAAGCTCACAAGTGAAAGCACTGCCTGACAGCAGACATTTATTCCAGAGAGTATTTATTAATAAGATGTGGAGAAAAGCAGGGGAAACACAACCTCCCTCAATAGGGTGGAGCAGATTTTAAACTGTGAAACAGTACTATTAAAAAGAAAATACATTGAAGGGCAATAAAAAGCTAGCAGTGCTATACACTCAAACTGTCAGAAATGAAGGTAACTACGCTGAAGAGATTCATATTAGTAGTGGCTCATCTGCAAATATAAATCAAATCAAACTAGACAGCATAGAGAAGAACCTAGAACATTTTTATCATCCACATAATTCACTTAAGAGCTCCCAGGAATCCTACGAGCAATTTGAACAGATACTGGTGTTAATCCTTGTATCGCATCAATTAAAAAAAGGCACAAAAATAGGAAAAAAGTTCTGATGGCAAGGTTTGTATAATCAAATTCTAAATGCACACGAAGTCACGACGTGCTATGTTTAAAGAAAAAGAGCTCTCAGAACAGAGATCACTGTAGTGTGACAGTGTCAGAGTGCACCACTTGCTCTGGGGCACTGCCATCTGCAACAGCACAGCATTTTGTCTCCAGTAAATAAACACATCTGCCTTTGCCAGTGTCCTCCCCACTGTGCTGCCCATCTGGAGCAGGTGAGCTGGAAGACAAGCAGGGGCTCAGGAAGCAGGAGAGGCACGGGGAAGGATCAGGCCCCAAGGGACGTGGCACAGAAGACAGTGCCACATCATGCCACATGCTGCCAGCTAAGGATGCCAAAACCTCTGCTAAATTACTCTCGTTAGTGGTATTTAAATCCTATTATGAAATGGTTGCTTCTGCACACAGGCAGGATATTCAGTATTGCCTCACCTGTGTAACACAAGGACCCAAATGAGTTAGTGCACTGATTTGCTCTACAAGCTTGATTAACTTAAAAATTTGATACCTTCAGCTGTCCTCCACATCAGAAAAGAGAACACTGCCATCAGGTTGCTCCTACAGATGAGTTCAATGCACAGCTCTGTGCCTCACCCGACACATGCCTAATGCTCAGCAATAAAGCTGATGTTGAAAGGGGGCTGTATGTGCCATGTAAAATATGATTTCAAGCCTGTGAAGTAAACTGCTGGAATAAGCACCAACCTCATTTACCCATGTCCAATCCCTGATAGATTTGTTCAACTTCATTTTCAATATCCTCTTTGCTCTTGTTTTGTTTTATGCAACACATTGGGAAGAATGCTAAGCAAGTAATTCCTAACCTTGGATCTTTAGAAGTCTGTCTGCCCTTCCTGAAAACATTAGAACATTTTACAAGAAGAATTAAGCCTTTTCTCCTGGGGAAATAACAGATTTATTTCAACATGCGTTACGCCCGTTTATCAAATTTGGAAAGCACACATCCAAGGACACTGACTTGCATACAGCCAAACAAGATGAAAGACAAACAGAAGTTCTGACTTCACTGTGCTTCAAAGGGTATCCCAGCATGACAGCTGGAGAATCACTGACAGGATGCATTTATTAGCAATACTTTGAAAAAAAATTACCATGAGAAAAAAAATCAGTAATTACAGTTCAGTAACTTGAGAAAAAAAATATAAAGCTTCGACTTGGATTTCACATTTCCTGAAAGCCTCGTGTTGCTGTTTACAAAAGGGACTTGTTTTGCTAAGCACATCAAACAGCTTTGCTCTATTAAATCATTTTCCAAGAAGATTAAACGGATTCAGTGCATTTGCATGAAAACTAACAACCTTATCTCGATGTTAAAGAGGCTTAATTCACTTAGCTGTACTTAGTGTTTGTAACAAAATGTTTATTAGGCCCAAAGATGAAATTTTAAGACCACAGTTGTATCAGTTATCAACACCCGATAACCTTTCTGAATATGCAAATAAATATTTTTTTTTAATAAATGTCTTTTCCAAGTGAATTCATACACAAATAAAGAAGCCAACACCTTCAGACCCTAGTACTTTAAAATGGAAATGGTCTCCAAAAAGTTTTGGCCAAAATCTTTTGCTTATTACTCACTCGACTCCGAAGGTAATCAGCTAGATTTCGTCGTGTGAAGTTTGCAGCTGCAGTAGGAGACAATTCATAACCTGGAGGAGAAACACATATTTGATTAAAAAAACCATATACACATTTAACTCAATGATTTCCCATATTATTTCACAGGTAATTTTATAGAGATAATTTCATACAACAGCCTGGGTTGAAAAGAACCACAACGCTCATCCAGTTCCAACCCCCTGCTGTGTGCAGGTCACCAACCAGCAGCCCAGGCTGCCCAGAGCCACATCCAGCCTGGCCTTGAATGCCTGCAGGGATGGGGCATCCACAGCCTCCTTGGCCAACCTCTTCCAGTGCCTCACCACCCTCTGGGTGAAAAACTTCCTCCTAATATCTACCCTAAATCACTGATTTTGGAAATAATAAGTTAATCCTTTAATATCAAAGTAATACACCATTTAATCTGTTTAATCCCATTGTATTCTGAAAGCTACAGTTACAGAGAAAAACATGCAAAGAGCCCTCAAAGTCCAGTTAGCTCATAGGTGTACAGAGCATTCAAACACACAGCTTGAAAAAGTTAAATACTGCAAGCACATAGCTGGAATTTCTCAGTGACATACATCAGGAAAGCTGCTAACAGCTGGCATGCAATGGATATCTTCCTTAAAAGTTGCCACTCGTGTTAAAAACAGGTTAGTAGGGCTATAGATAACCAGACTCCTTCACTCACCATTCCGCATTTTGTAGAGCTGAACGTTTTTCTGGATGTATTCTGCAAACTGCACAGTGTCTCCAGCCTCGCCCACACACAGCAGCAAGATCTTTTCACTCATCTTAAACATTTTATCGTGGTCTAGGCAAAAGAAACAAGAAGATCTGAAGTGAAATACAGTTTTAGGCAGGAGCACCACTAGCTGTAAAACTGAGGATTCTATAGAAAGTTTATCAATACATCAACTTACAGCTTTTTTGGTAACGTTCTAGAATGCAGGGCTTGGATTAAGGCTGCTACACCTTGTGCACATAGTCCTAGCCCACGTTACTACAACAGCAGGCAGAAAAAGCCAATTTTAAGAACTTCAAAGGCTTGAGAACTCCCTAGGTGTTCTCCCACATCAAGAAGCTAAAAAGATACCGCAGCAATTCACACATCTCGAGTTGCTCTTACTACCAATATCCCCTTTTCCCCACGAAACGCCCTTTAGCAGGGATACAGCTCCAACCAAGCCCTTCCTCCTGCCCTCATTATTCCTCCGGATCACCCAACGCAGCCCCACAGCAATGCCTGGGCCAACAAGCGACGTTCACCTCAAGCCTTAAGCAAACACAGCCACCAGCGGGCACGGAGTGCCGGCTTTACACAGAGCACGCAGCCCTGCGAGACCAGAGCTCCGAGCCGGCAGCTCCTCACGGGAATCAGACCCGAATTAAAGACCCTCACAGCGCGGTGCCGCACATCGCGGGCCTGGCAGCCCCCGGCAGCACAGGGGAACAAGGCCGGGCCCAGCGAGCGGCAACCCAGAACAGCGGCAGCTCCGCTCGGTCCTCACCGTGCTTCATCTGGACGATGCTGGAAGCCGCCACGGTGTCGGCAGCCACCAGGACGTAGTCGGGGCCCTGGATACCGATGAGGTACTCCATGGCGGCCGCGCTCCGCCGCCCGCGCCGTGACACAGCGATGCGCCGCCGCCTCCAAAACGCCGCCACCGCGCATGCGCCGGCGCGGTGTGATGACGTCACATCTCGCGAGAGCACAGGGCGGGAGTCACGTGGGGGTGCGCGCGTCGCGCCGGGTGTCTGTCGGCGCCTGAGGGGAGGCGGGGTGCGATGGGTGCTGGTGTGCTTTATGGCCTCTGCCCTAATTATCTCTGCTAACTGATCTCGATGAGCAGGGAGCAGCCCCTGGGTGCGTTGGGGCGTTATTTGGGTTGCTCTGTCAGCGCCCAATGGGTTCTTTGCAGGGCATGGTCTGTGCTCTGCATTCTGCGGTTTGGTTCTCCTGTGCCATAGGGATGGTGGAGGCTTCAGGCAAATCTGGGCCTCTGTGCATGTAAATTGGGGTGTTTGTGCTGCTACCAGCCAAAGTGTGTCTTGTTCTTTATTAAAAAGCATGCTTGCAAAGCACAGTCTCAAAGAAAGGTGGGAAATTGAGTTGTAATAGGGCAGCTTCTGCTGCATGTGCTTTGTGGGATAAAACCAAGCTGGCTTGGCTTGCGTGCCCTGGAGCAGAGGGCACTGCTTGGAACTGAAACTCTGCGGAGGTCCAAGAGGAGAGGAAGCTGTTCCAAACCCTGTCCTGCAAGGCAGCTGTTTTTGGGCACAAAATGCATTGGAAATGAAACCCTGACGCTGCCGCAGCCTCTGATCTGCGCGTTCAAAGGGAGCTGAACTGTGAAGAGAGGCGGTGAAGGCCCTCCAGCAGCAGCACGGGGATTTATTCACTGCCCATCTTTCTGTGTCAGTAGTGGCTGGCAGTGCCAAGCCTGAGCCCTGGCCTCGGCTCCCTGCTGCTCCTGCACTGCGTGCTGTGCAGCTGGTAGCCATGAGCGAGTTCAGGCTGTCCCTGCCCCACTGCCAGCCCCATCCCACACAAAACCCCCGCAGCCACAGAGACAAGCCCTGGCTTGATTCACCTACTGAGCTAACGCAGGAATTTTTTCCTTGCTGATATGTACATGCCAAACACTGGGGGAAAACTCCCAAGCTGCAGATGTGTCTGCTGATTTCCTGATCTGATGGTAGCTTCAGAGCTCTGTGATCTCTGCTCTGGGACTTTGGATGGAATGTCCCTGTTTCGTCCCTTGGCTGAATATGGATTCTGACAGCTGCTGAGCAGCAGATGCTCTCCTCGCTGTTCCCTTCTTTTTCCCCGCTCCCATCCTATTTTAGTTTCTCGGTGCTTTGTGTTAGGTGGCCACCGAGCACCCAAAAGCTTCCAGGTGTGGTTGTAAAGTAGGTAATTGATAACAAGAGGAACAAAACAAATACTCTAATTGCCTGGATGTTGTCTGACTGCAGGCACCATCCTGACGAGCACTAGCACATGCTTTATTGATTAGACACTGCCTGAGCCCGTCAAACATGTGAGCTAAGTGCAGCTCCACAAAGACCCAGCCCCACGCCAATGAAAGGGGCCACCGAAGCATTAAAATCCCACGGTTGCTGTAAAGGAAGCAGCCCCAGGACATAAAATTCTGGATGCTACAGCGCATGGCAAATGCCCAACTGTACCTATACCAAGAAAGTCACTGTGTAATTACGAGAACTGGGCATAACCTTTGTGTGGTTTAAAAAGTACTAAACATGCCAAGAAGCAACAGCGAATTGTCTTCAGGAAACAGTATAAATGAGTGTAAGCAGCAAATTCACCATTTTGACTGTTTTCCAATTGCCTGTAGCTATACTTGTTAAATTGAGTGCTGCGTGCGTAAATCAAAACAGGATGTTTTCTTTTACCTAACAATGGCCGAGCTCTTTGCCAGTGCTTAAGTATTTTCTGTGTGGATCCAACCTATAGTTTTAAACACATTTTCCCCTATAGATCTTACTGCATGTGTGCACACAGCCAGCCTGTTGAACTTAACAGTGATTTTCTGAGACCTCTTTAAGAGAAGGTTAACAAAAAATCAACAGTTACCTTTCTTGTTGATTTTCATTGGGCCCTAGGGTGCAATTAAATGTTAACATTGTTATTGAACTTTCTTGACAGATTGAATTTCCCTGGTTAGGAAGCATGCATATGTACTGTATACACCTACCTCTCTTCCCAGGGTGAAGGCACTCCCAGCATCATGACATGGGTGTAAGGAGGGAAGCGAGGCATCTCTGGCTAGCAGAATTTGGGGAATATTTTCCACTATTAAAAGGAATTTCTGCAACCTGTAGTAGGTCTTAAAATTGAATGTGCATTTGCTTTTTTAATTGTTAAGTGTATTTGTATGTGTGTGTGCTGCATGTCCTTGGTGAGAAAGATCACCCAGCAAAAAGGAAGCAGCTGTAACTGAACTGCTCTACAGCAAACCAGTGCAGAGATACATGTGGTGAAAACTCAAGAGGGACAGGCTAGCTAAGAGTAGGAAAAATGGGATGGCCGGAAGGTAGCTAGAAAAGCTGGTAAGGATGAACAGCTGTCACGTTTTCTACACGAAGTAGTTAGCCATATGGGAAAGCCTATAAAACAATGAAGTTATTACCAAAGTCCTCAGCCCAGCCCACGCTGGCTGTACACACACTGTGCTGAGGCACAGGCGCTGAGTGCTGCAGCTCACACCAGCTGTGGGCTGGGCAGCCACTGCTCATCTCCTGCAGTGACACGGCTGACCAGTGCTTCCTAATGTAAGGTGATATGTGCAGAGGAAATTGTCAGTCTTTTTACCAGGTGCTGATTGCTCCAGCAGAAAGCCTGGACCTGAGCAGGCGAGTCATTGCATCAACAGCTGGAAAAAGGCAGTGCCTGTAAATATATGTCAGCTTTGCAAACTTTTCAGCAGCTTATTTTCTTTCCCACTCCTTTTTTATTTTTTTTTTATTTTTACCCCTCTGCACGTTGTCCATGAGATGATGCAGTTGTTATTCCTGCACAACAAGCTCACTTCTACCTGGTCAGGCTTCATGCTCTGTCCTGCCAGTGTCTGCTACCCTGGCTGCAATTGCTCTTAACGGGTGTCTGGTTCTCATTTTGATGCTTGGCAAACTTAGCATGCTCCTGACATTTACAAACAGTGGTGTGCTTTCCTGAGCTTCCCTGCAGGGTCTGTCCTTGGTCTGCATGTGCCCAGGGTGCAGAGTTGTGATAATCTACAGTCACTCGGCCAGGAGCACATACTGCTCTCTGAGCTCCCAGACCACTGCTATTTGCCTGGCTGCTGGCATCCCTGTTTATTCCAGCTTTGGGCTGTGATGTGATGTGTGACTGTGGTACAGAAAGGGTTTTTGCATTCTCAGATTGTTTGGTGTTTTTTACACTGGTTTTTACCCTTTGCGGTCATCTGTTTCAATACAGCATCAGTAAATGATGCTGCAATTGCTGTGCCACCTAGATTAGGTTTCCTGCTTTGAGCTCAGAGCTTGCCAGAGAAGAAAGGGAACCTCGTGTCCCTGCTATGTCAGGTGCAGGAAATGAAGTACAGAAAGAAGTGATTTAGTGGTGATCACAGGGCGGGGTATGGATGGAAATAGGGCTGCCCTGATTCACTGAGCTCCTCTCTACTGCTGAAGCATGCTGCTGGATCCCACAACCCCGCAGTGAACCCTGCCAGGATTACATGGAGCTTTGTTACTAATCTCTCTGTCTGGGCTCCACGGATCTCCTTGAGCCATCTTTCTGTGGGCCTAAACATGTACATGTAAGCAGATTCTGCTTTCAGACAAACCCTGCACAGTTCCCTTCCTGCAGTTCCCAAGCAGTTTTGGGACCAAGGCCAGTTTGCAGGGAGCAAAACTTCCTTCCTCCTGGCTCCTACCAAACCTGCAGCCCCTGCTCTGGGCTGTGTTTGCCCTCTGCCTGTGATGGGAAGAGCGGGGCATCGATTGCAGCATGCAGGTGAAAATGGATGCGACCTGCTGCACTAACAGAGCTGATTAGCACTGGCCTGTGTCTCTGCCAGGATTGATCTTGCAGGTGAGAACATTCCAAGAGCAGCTGAGGCCCTGCAGTCACCACCCACTCACCGCTGGCTCAGTCTGCTCACTGCTTTGCAGCCAGGACACCAGCAGTGGTTTTTCTCCACTTTTCCTATTCCTGGAGCCTCCTTATCAGCCCATTGCGCTGTCATAGTGGCTGCTCACAGTCCTGGCACTTGCAGGCTGAAATTGCAAAAGCTCAGCTCTGCAGAGCCATGCTGGCAATGCCAAGAAGACGTCCGGTCCTGAATGGGGTGACCCATCCCTGCGTGGCTCTGCGGGGTCCAGCAGCATCATCCCATCATCCGCTTCATAACCGTTGCTAATTGGAAAATTAAACCATAAGAAGAAAATCTGCTTCAAGTTATTGCAAGGGCTTTTGTCCCCCACTGAGGAGGCACAAATCAAGGAATCAGAATGTCTAACAAAACAAACAGAGATTTCTTTGGTATTGGGGGAGATTTATAGGCAGCAGCATCCAGAGAAGCCTCCCCTGCTCCGTCCTTCTGCTTGAATTCTTGCTGGTCACTGAGTTATTACTTTTCTTACTGTTTCCCCTGCTTTATAAGTGGGGAAGGCATAAGCAAATTATCATAATACTCCTTTGGTTAATTGCCCTTTTGGTTACTTATTGAGTTAATTAAAAGACAGTGTCAGTTAGGAGGAAATGCAGAGAGGTGGGCAGTGAGGGGACAGGATGTGGACTGAAATAGGCCATTACTCCAGCTCAAAGAATGGCAGTTTTTGTCCCTGCTTTATTGCTACATCACTTCTGTGCATGATTTGTTCTGGATTAAAAAAAACCCAACAAACTAACTAACCCAACAAACACAAAGCAAAAGAAGAAAGCCTGCTGCTGGAGATCTCCATTGCTTGTTAGAATCCATTTAGCATCAATCCAAAGCTCTGCAGAAACCCAAACCACCTATTTTAGGATCCTTTTTTCAGCTGAGAAAAATGTGCTGCTCCACAGGTCAGAAGCTGCCTGCAATTATGACCCCGAATAGATAGAAATGTTGCTTCTTGAGACAAATTCCATCTGACAGTTTTTACAGTACGTTCGTTCAGAGCAAAATGCCCTGTCCCCTGTCACCCGGATTGAAATTATTAAGGAAGACAGACATTTCACTGACAACTCTAGCCTCCGGGGGGAAAATATTCCTTCTGTTCCCC